ATAACTCCTCTACTCGGATTAAAACTTTGTAAACTTATAGTACAGGTTGTTTGTTTTGATATTTGGAGATAACTCCTCTACTCGGATTAAAACTTTGTAAACTAATAGTACAGGTTGTTTGTTTTGAAAACTGGACATAACCCCTCCAACTTCCATTCAAACTATTAACTGTAGAACGCAAATATATTCTCAATCATTTGTACCGAGCGTGATTATGTTGTGGAATTCATTGTCCGATGGAACTGTTCACGCTATTTCCCCGAATCAATTTAAAACCATGATACACCCAACAGAAACTCACAATTGCTTTGTTTTATATTTTGGGACTAGATTTTGTCAAATCATCCACTGTCGCCTCAAGCTCGGCTGTAGTGATCTAAATGCAGACAGATAAAATCGACATATATCGGAAACATCTAAGAGTTCATGTAATCATTATAACGAAGACGTTATTCACTACCTTTTTGCATGTTGGAACTATAAAAATTTAAGAACAACTGTGTAACGAAATAAAATATTATACAGCACAATAACTTCTTAATTCATTTACTATGTAATATACACTCATATGATATATCGTGTAACTCGGTATATGTGTATACATGTACTTGAACTCTTCCACAACAATGACCTATGTAATTAGCTGAATAAATACTGTATGAAACTGGTACAGCTATAATTGTTTATAAGTGTTGGTGGAACAGTCTATCTGATGGAGGGGAGAGAGCTAGTAATTACAACCCACTCGACTGGAACAAGTTGTGTATTGGACGGGTAGTCAAACTGGGAGTAGTCATAATGCGAATGAACCAAATTTGAATATATAGGAAGTATATCATTAATGATGTTGATTTGAATGAATTCAACAATGATCGTTCAGAAAGTTAGGTCTTGGTTGACCAGCTTTCGTTGAATATTTGTTTGCCTGTCAAGCCTTGCCTTGTCTTCGCTGACTTGGATCAGGTAGATTATACTTCCGCCCACTCAACCTAAAGGTATGTTCAGTTGACGGCCCATTTGGAAAAGTAACACAACATGTCTCTTTACCAACTGAAATCCCCCTGTACAAAGTTCTCTACCGTGTATAGCCTTTTGTCTCCGTGATGATTCGTGATGAACTGGTCTTCAGCAACCCATGATTTACGTAAGAGGCGTGCGGGAATTGGGTGGTCATAATCTTTGACTTGATTGATGCATATCACTGTATCCCTATTGCATAGATCGATGCCCATGGTGCCAGTCACGGGATTGTCTGGTGTATTTGAGTACACACATCGACGTCATATAGTTTGAATACTGCTGGAAGAGTTATACAACAAAGTTACGAACCAATGTAGATGGGAAACATCTTGACATTTCGACAGGTTTTATGTTGTTGCTATGCATGTACTCGTATATTCTGTGCTTTCAGGTCTGTTTGAACCAGACTTCTGTCATCAATCACATGATACGGGAAGGTGCTGTTCCGAATCTCAACAGGACAACTGTTTCAACGTTGTAACCAAACTTGTCATTTCCAACAGTTTGATTTATAATGCAATTGTTAGAGTTAAAATCGTGATGCATGAAGCAGCCATTTATAAACGCATTCTTACTATCAGCAGTGGTATGAATAACACTAACGATCCTGATCCCTTCACAAATGCCTGTAGTCTGTTCCAGAAGAACACGACTATCTTCCTGACTGGACGGTATGGTGATATTCCACTTCCGATGTTACATAAAGGTCACGGTGAAGAACTGGACATCGGAATCAGTTTGGACACTTTGTGGTATCGAATCCATTGCTTTGTCTTTGTTTTCCATGACAAACACATGAATTTGGGCACATCAACGTTTTCGGTTGTTAACATCACATCTAATCCCTTTTGGGCAAGGATTTGGTTCAACTGTGATGAGCCAGGTACCGACTTTGTTTGCATCCGGACCTGCGAAGACACACACAGTCTTTCAAAACATTTTCAAAAAATTCGAAAATATCACTTCACGTCAGAAATGTCTTATAGGTTAAGAAATATCCCAGACGCCTGAGACCTTTCGGGAAAATAATGACACTGAGAAATTGAATAATGAAAATTCGGTTACCGTGCACAGATAGAGTTTTGCACAGTTGGAAGATACAATTGTTATCCTTTTCTAATTAAGAGAAGACGAACCCTAATCTATTATATGCATTTGGGATTATGATAAAATATGATGTTCCTGTCAAAAAGTCTTATTGTGGGATTCTTTTCGCCAGCTCTATGCATCACCATATTCTGATAGTCGTGTCTATCTTACAGTCATAAAACAACAGATTTAGACTCAGCAGTTACAGTTTACAGTTTCCTGTAATTGAGGAAATGTTTTCGCCGCTTCCATGATTATGAACATAGTTTTGTCGCTTTTTCCAAGAGGTAGATGAGTATTAGAATCAGTTTTACTTTTTTATACTAGTATTTGAGAAACAACACACGACCTTAGTTTCATTGGCCTCGATATTGAAAATGTTTAAAGGATCCTCATCCCTAAATAAGTATACTATGGTGCAACAAAGTGAAACAAATACCGTTTTTCACCGTTTTCAAAAGAATAAAACTAAACTGAAAACAAATATTAAAATATTGTGAATAGATGAATGTTATTTTTTAAATGGTAGATATACCAGCAAATGAGATTATTAGTGACTGTATCATCAAATGGGGGTAACGTATTGTAAAAGTATTGTCCGTCTTAGGGGGTAGTAAGTAGAGTTAGACCTACCAGGTTTTTAATCACCGTATATTTTTATTTCATTGCTAAATGTGTCTATAATTGCACTTGAAGGGGGTCTGTAAATTCAGCTAGGGCCCATGCGGGTAGCGAAAGTAATGGTCTCTAGTATGGTGACCTACCTTCAGTTGCTGAACGACCTACGAACAGTTTTTTTTATAATTTGTTGTTTAAGATATGTATTCTACTTTTGAATGTAAATCTGTGATATTCTTGTTATTTTACTTTGCTTTGTTGACAGGTATTTATATCGTTTGTTATTGTTAAGATTGTTTTAATTGTGGATAAAAGTTCTTTGGAAATAGTCCAGCCTCAGCGGCATTACAGTGGAAGTGTTCTGAACATTTGTGAGTACTAGCGTTACGTTTTGGGCCCATCACTTATTACAGCCGCCACTTATCTGATGTATTGTATTGACCTTTAACGTGTAAAACTATGTGTAGAAATAAACTTATTGATTATTGGCTGATATTCTGTGATCATATTCAGTTCTGTACGTACAGAAGTGTTTGGATTCTTGAATCTGGAATATCAACTCGTAACAACATACCAGGAAGTAGCCTTTCTTCGAAACAGAATTTCTTACTTGTAAGAACATCTTGGTGTGGAATATCTACTGTATTAGTAATGATGCATGGATAAAACGTATGTCACATTGTTAAATTGCTTACACTGACAAGCAATCAGAAATCAGATCTGAGTATATGGCAACACAGCGCACACAGACAGATTTATTTACAAGAAGGTGTTCAGTGTTATACAGAAACTGATACAGTAATTTCGTATGGCCAAAGTCATCAAAGCGGCAGTAAAATAACTCGCTGACAACCGTCCAACATTTATGCACGACGTTGTTTGGAAAAAGTGTACTCTGATGGTAATGTCCCGAAATTATTATGTACTAATAAATGCTTACTCGGTGTCCAGAATAAGCCAAGATGGGACAGGGAATGACATCGCTCTGAAATGAGGCTTTTATATCAGAAAGCTTCGCCTGTGTTTATTGTATTATGTGGCAACAATGGTATCTGGACTCCATTCCACAAGGCGATTGTATTGCTACGCCTGTCGTACGTCTGTGTTAAAGTATGAGAGTTACGATCACCTTAGCGCTACGCTTGCCTTGTGGAACGAACCGGTCGCAGTGTCGCTCCAACAAACGCCGTTTCGGCACGTTTTTTTACCTGTTTTGAGGGTGGCGTTAAGCGCTGTCGGGCCGGAGACCGTCGTGCTGATCGATGCGTTACGTAATACGTGGCTCCCTAGGGCAGGGACTTAAGAGCGGCTTGTGAATTTTTAGCGGGGCATTTTAGAACCTGTATTGGTGTGACTACCTCTGAACCTGTATGACCCGTGAAGATCCACGGTAGAATAGGTCTTCAGCAACCCATGCTTGTCACAAAAGGCGACTATGCTGGTCGTAAGAGGCGACTAACGGGATCGGGTGGTCAGGCTCGCTGACTTGGTTGACACATGTCATCGGTTCACAATTGCACAGATCGATGTTCATGCTGTTGATCACTGGATTATCTGGTCCAGACTCGATTATTTACAGACCGCCGCCATATAGCTGGAATATTGCTGAGTGGGGCGTAAAACTAAAGTCACTCACTCACTCTGAACCTGTATTGGTGACTTTAATCAGTACATCAAATAGGGATTTCCCCTGAACGTGTACTGGTCACTTTTCCAGTACATTAAATAAGGATATCCCTTGAAACTGTTTTGGTGACCTCCCTTGACCCTCTTTTAAGTGACCCTATTTGAATCTGGCATGAGTTTCTATTGTGACCTCCTGTGATCATATATTCATTACCTCTCCCAATATTTGTATGATTAAGTTTCCCCCACTGTTTACAAGCATATATATTGATAACCTGAACATGCCCCTCTTCATCAACTGGTATTGGTGACCTCTCACCTATTGGTGATTTCTCTGCCCACAACCAACCATCTGTCAATGTCCTTCCACATTAAGCAAGAAAGGAAGTAAATTCACTTATCCATGTATACTGACTGACTGACTGAGTTTAGTTTTACGCCGCTTTTAGCAATATTCCAGCAATATCACGGCAGGGGACACCAGAAATGGGCTTAACACATTGTGCCCATGTAGGGAATCGAACCCGGGTCTTCGGCGTGACGAGCCATCGCTTTAACCACTAGGCTACCCTACCGCCCCTATCCATGTATACACACTATTATTTCTATTTTCTATAGTTAAGTAGGCACAAACAACAAAACATCCATCACCTTTGTATAAAGTTTATTCAACATTTGCCCGATCAAGTCTCATATCCCATCCAGGTAATAACCAAGTCAAGACCCATAAGAAATAAACCCATTATAATTATGGTATTCCATGAATAGATAAATGAACTGTTTAACAGGCAATATCCCAAAGTTTACATTCATTTTCCAGTGATATATAGTACACTTGGTTCACTGACAAAACTGAAATGAATAATTAAAGCGAAAACCATTTCATAGTGAAGTATATAAAATATATCAATTGACCCTCGACAACCTGTCTCGATATGATACTGTTTGACATTTCACCAACTTTAACATTCCTGGGCATTATATGGAATTATTTACCAGTAACAATCAACAAGAGTAGACATACATCCACAAAGTTTCTATCACCTTAAACAAAAATAAAACTGCAAATATAAACATCCTGGAAAATACTTTTTCTAAAATGCCAAACACCCACTGTCCCAGAAACCACACAGTATCAGAGAGTTGAAAGAATTACTGTTTACAGTTGCTCTATATCACAACTCACACATATCTGCTGACTAAAACAGCTCACAGGGTACTGTACTTATAGACATGGCGGTCACACTGGGACCCACCAGAACTAGTCATACAACTCATTCCTGGCTTATATTTGTGAGTTAAAACCATTTCTCTGCAGTTTTTGTTGGCCTGCTGCAAAGAATAACCTATCACATAGAGCAATTCTAGACCATATATGTCTTGATCCTTCACAAGACATGTACGTTTCATTAATAACATATTAACAATAATTCAGTTTGGTTGGTTGGTTTAAAACTGCATTCAATATAAGATAGTGGTCTGTAAATAATCAAGGATGGGCAGGACAATCCAGTGATTGAAATATCATATTAGTTTACCTGACCAAGTTTAAGGATTGCTCAAATGCCATTGCTCAATTTTCAGGAAGTTTCTACACACTAATCTGTTAACAGTCAACCATTACGGGTAATGTTACTTCAGAATACAACTTGGAATGGTTTCTTGTACTGGCAATAATGAGGAAGGTCACAGTCCAACATTAAGTCACATGGTCATAAGGTGACTCAAAAAATACTGTTTAGATATTCAACCAAGCACAGAAAAAATGACAATGAGACACACAGATAATGAATCAACTTCCCCCATTTTCCTTGGGCCAGATCAACAAAATGTTCATAACACTATGCCATTCGTAAGCCTATGATAAGGTATAGAATTACGACTGGTCGTAACTTTATACAAACACTTTGTGGATCAGTACCCAGAGCTACTAAAACACTTGGATAATCAAATTTCATTATATTTAGACCTGCAAAAGCTAATTGGTTAGCACAAAATAATGAAAACCACCCAGTGTAAAAAAGTGGCTCCAAGAAGGAAATGTCACTGTCGAGTTTAGTTAAAGATTAACTTGAGAATTAGGTCTTTTGTGTTAATGGCAACAGATTTTCTCATGCTTCGTTTGTGTCCCAGATTGGACGAGATACGCCCTTCAAATGTAAATTTTAAAATAATGGAAAACTCTGAAATATTGATTTGAAACTTATCAGACATGTTCCAGTCACGGACAACATGTCCTTTCCCTGTTCTTACACTTACAGGTTTTGGGTGTCTGACATAAGAATAGTCAGATGAGTGAAAAAAGAAAAATTATTCCAATTAAATCCAAAACCAAGTATGTCCCTACTCAATACTTATATCTGATAGGAAGATCAACTTCGGTCAAAGATTACTTGTTTTCAATAACCGGTATTAGAATAATGCTTCTTGCAAACTTCAACCTGTTCAATACACTTAACCTAGCCATTACAAAAGTGATCTATAAGTCCAATGCATGTAAACATGTAATCTGATAGGTTTCATAATTATTCTTAAAGGCTCTGCTTATTTCTTAAATTATTCATTAATTATTATAAATCAAAATTTGTCTTAGAATCTGGGAGATTTAATTGACCAATCTGATCTTATACTGTTACTATCTGCTTGTATCTAACGCTCATATAGTCATGGAAACGAATAAGGGAACATGTGAAAGTACAAGTGTTCCTTTATTCTTTTCCAGGTTTCTTCACAAGGTATGTATTGCACTGTGAGTGAAATTCTGGAAATAAATACAGGAACACAAAGTTTCTATGAGTATATTATTGCTTAACTGGTAGTAATATACTCTGTATATACTTGATATGTCATGCAATATATTCTCATGTCCTCGTACTGGAGTGCATTTAAATAAACCTGTGGCTTGTTTGCCAGTCCATGTCATTATGAAATAAATAGGTTTAAATTAAATTAAAAATACACCATTTGTGAAGTGTACTCCAGTAAAATCATGTTCATCAGTTACAAAAAATCATACCTAAATTATATTAAACTTTTCTGAGTAAACTAAGGCATCTAAATAAAGCCATTAGTAAAAGAACATGCAATAAGCTGACTTAAATTATCTAGGGTGGATATTTTGTTTACATCATAATAAATAATACTATATAACAACAAATCCTCTGATTACAAAACAGCAAAAGCTATTAACATTTTCTAAGCATTATTTTCATGAAATTCCCTATTTTCTAGTGTTTTGACAGAACAATGAAATGTAAGTTTGCTTGTGTTAACGGCTTACTTGCTCCCAGTGCCAAGAACTATTACTTAGGCTATATGGGATGTGATGAATTGCGGGAATTTTCACTAAAACAGTTATAGAATTTAACACACAAGTGTATGAGACAGATGAGCCATGATGCATATAATTGATGTGACTACTAAGCAATTCTACTGTAACAATAGCAAAAATATTCAAACCTGGGGATCCAAGAAAGATTGTAACAAGTTTCAGAGGTAATCTTTTCTCTATGTTAACACAAAACTAGTCTTGCAATCTCATTAAATTCACATTTTAATTACTCAGAAATAATACCTTTCTTCATGCTGATGAGACATTGCAGGTGAACTTCTAATCAGCCTATCTACATTTAGGTTTCTAATATCTTACAACATTTCTATGAATATATTTGGCCATGCTGACTTCTGTATCTTGTAAACAAAGTTAAACTGAACACTTCAATTAGGAATACTAATTTGAGTTAATTTTACTCATTATAATCAAATTTGGCAAATAAAGACAAGAAGAGATCTAGAAACCTCCTCCAGGCACTACCTTATATGGAGGAGCCATTAGATTTTCAGAATGGTAACAAATCAGAATAAAATATCATATTTTAATGAGATTGCTTTTGAAGGAGAAGAAATTAAAACCAATGATGAAGATGAGTCACATATGATACTTTAAACATGAAATGTCACCATATTAATTTAAAAAATCTATCCTTACCACATTAAGATCATGACAGATATTATACTGAATATGTATGACCCCTTGTGAAAAGCTATTGTCACATTTGGTGAACTATGAATGATAAAAAAGTAAAAAACAACAACATATGTCCTTTGTATTCTCATATGTGAAGAGATAAAAAATATCTAAATCCTTTTATCATTTCTTAAGAAAATGCACAGAACTTTCAGCACATTGTAGACAGGAGCAGGAAAACTACTAATTAAGAAAAAAATATAATTCTCACCATTCATCTTGTAAGAAAATTGAAAAATGAAAAAATAATCTTGCACAAATTCAGAAAGTGTTTCATGAAAAAGGTCCCCCTTATACATGTCATTATAAAACATATTTCTCCCATTTGTATCTGATTAAAATATTCCCAAAAAGTGCAGCCACGGATCACTTAATGGGAATACATGTACTTCATCCCACAGCAATTGAAGTAACCTCCATCAGTTACCTGACACAACAGGGCTACAGAACTGGAGGAAAACATTATCCTACATCTATAGTGAGACAGCTGTGAGGTAAATGTCAACAGCTGATTCAGTCCCCAGTAAGACAGGATCATCAAACTTAGGACAGCCACTGTGCCAGCAAGTGTGACCCACAAATACAGATTGTGTATTGAACATAGGATGGAGCTACAAAAGATACTAACAAATTTGATTGCATAGAAAGCAAATAACTTGGTAAACCATTGACAAAACATTTAAGATTGCAATAAAAACATCAACACCTTAGCAGCAGCCACTAAACAAAATGTGCATCCCTTTGTCTTCTTTATTTCCCTGTGAGAGTGAGTGAATCAAGCTGAATCAAGCCAGCTTGTAGTTTGAAAGGGGCCAGAGAAACCTGTGGTCAATAGCATGAGCATTAACCTTCATCACTATGACACAATCAGGCAGAGGACCACTCAGTCTTCATCAGATGACCTTTACAAGTGTGATAATGGGTTACCTGAAACTCCGTCCAAGTGTTACCATGGTAATCATTCAGAAGCAATAACAGTAATGCCTGAAAATCAGTCCTCACTGTGACTCACATTGCATAAAATTGAAAATAACACATACGCAAACAAACTGTCAGGAAGTATGTTTCAAAATGTGTATCTTACACTTAACCATTCAACAGCAGGCAAAATAAAAAACACACTGTTAGTTGTGATAAACATAACATTCCTTTCACTGAAAAATATGGTGCATGTTGGAAATGGATGGTATGGAATGCTTGTATTTCACAATTGGCTTCATATACACTGTTGTTTGAACAACATTCACACACTTTGTACAAATTGTTCATGAAACTCACTTCTATCATCATTACCATCATAATTATCACTATTTTATACTTCTTCATCATCATCACCATCATCATCATCATCATTGTCATCATCATCATTAACATCAAAAGATATTAATATTGTAACCAGTATCAACAATGTTATATTTCTATCACAAACTGGTATATTTCTATCTTTGGACAAAAGAGAAAGTCAATATTTAGTTGACTCTGACCATGAAGAACTGGAGTGGTAATTAATATTATCTTTACAATACAAGAAACAGACACCTTGCTAATCCAGAAACCCCCCTTTCTGGATTGTCAGGAAGCTCTACATACATACAAAGCATATTATCTGAACCCAAAATTCATTTACCAACAAAATATGTGGATGGTTTAACTGTACGACTAACAGCGTTCCTGTGTATGTGAGTGATGTACAATATGAAGTCTTGGTACCATGCATGCACTGTATTCTTCTAATACTGTCATTCTAATACCTTAGCACTGGCGCTGTCACAGCGACCTCTGCCATTATTTACACCTGTACACAGGCAGGATATGTGTTCATACACCACTCACACAGAACCATCAGTGTCTATATTCTGCCAGGCTCAATCTTATATACATTAAAAATACAATCTTGCGCTTGCACATGTGGATTCATTACTAACGTGACAATTTCCTTTTTCTATTCAATTACCGGTACACACAGCTGAATCACAGAACACCACATATTGCAGCTCATCACCACTGTTTCCACTTACGCTGTGGATTTATAATCATTATGTACAACATCACAACAGAAGGAATTGCTCCACAGCATTCCACAAAACTGTTCGCATTCCAGGTACTTTGACAGTCTGTAAAGTTTTGGTTACATAGTGATCCAAAAAGAAGATGTTCTTTGCCGTACAATTCACAACGAAAACTCTTGCCCCTGGAGATGTTCTTGGCCATCCAGTTTACTCTGAAAACTCTTGCCCCTGAAGATGTTTTTGGCCAACCAATTCACAGTAAATACCTTGCCCCAATGATGTTCTTGGCCCTCTATTTCACACTGAAAACCTTTGCCCCAGAGACGTTCTTGGCCTCCCAATTCACACTGAAATCCGATGTCCCCGAAGATGTTTTTGGACATCTAATCCACACTGAAACCCGATGTCCCCGGAGATGTTTTTGGACATCTAATTCACACTGAAACCCGAAGTCCCTGAAAATGTTCTTGTCCTCCAATTCACACTGAGAACCCCCGTCCCTGAATATTGTTCTTGGCCTGCTGAAACATGGTGAAGAAGAGCTCCCTATAGTTTGGTGCAAAGCGGAACTGATACTGGGGCACTAAAATATGGGTGCCACCTGGAGACATGGATTCTGATTGGCTGTCTGAGACAGACACATCCTCACTGACTGGCTGAGCAAGTGTTGGTGCTGAATCAATGAAGGCTGCAACCCTGTCCTTGTTAGATGCCTCAGACTGAAGTGCAAAAAATAATCATTTGAATTTTGCATTTTTCAACTAAAGGGAATATAGCACTGTATAATTTTTATCAAATGAGACCATATGTTCTTGATATGTGATCCCAACCATTGCCTGAGACTGAAGTAATGTAAAAGAGCAGATTGTAGCAAGGCTGTGGCAAGATGTACCCAAAATATCTCTACCATTGCTTGATACTGCAGCAAGGCTATGGCAAGATGTACCCGAAATATCTCTACCATTGCCTGATACTGCAGCAAGGCTATGGCAAGATGTACCCGAAATATCTCTACCATTGCCTGATACTGCAGCAAGGCTATGGCAAGATGTACCCAAAATATCTCTACCTTTGCCTGATACTGCAGCAAGGCTATGGCAAGATGTACCCGAAATATCTCTACCATTGCCTGATACTGCAGCAAGGCTGTGGCAAGATGTACCCAAAATATCTCTACCATTGCCTGATACTGCAGCATGGCTATGGCAACTCCATGTCTTGATTACTTGTAAATAAACTAGACTGCCAACTGGCTAGAAGTATTCAAAGGAGATACAGGAACATATTGACCACTAAACCTGAGAAGTATCATCGATGACCAGTGACACATAGGACAGCTCACCTCAACTGTAGTCTTGTAATAATTGTCATTCCAGACAATGGTGATGAGTGTATCATCAGAAGGGCACTCCGTCATCTCCAGCTCACCCACAGCAAATGCCTGCTGTTGTGCATCTTCCTCTGAGCTCACAACAAACAATATTTCAGGCGTTAACAGCAGGGTCACCTCCACTTCCAGCCCAGTGAGGTCAAGGTGAAGGCCATCGACAGCAAGCAGCATATCTGTGGTTGGTAGGGAACTGAAGATCTTCCTGGAATTGGACAAAATATGGTCTTCAGGGTGTTTGTTATCCACAAAATAAATCTCCTGAGAAATATGAATACAATGTATGGTTGACGACCTGACAGCACTGATATTTGAAATGTTTGTGGTAAAGACCACTGCTTTATTGGTCATTGGGAGCACAGGGTATATAAGTTGGAAGAAGGGATGGTTTGGGGACAGGGAGTCAGACCCTACTTTTTGACATCTTGGTCAAAATAAGTCAGGCCAAAGTTAACATTTTTATTGACCAATAATCAATTGACCAATGAAAAGTACTATTCATAGATTAGATTCTAATGATGATGATCACACAATGGTTACCATCTCTGCCTCCAAGTGTTTATGGAGGTACCTGAAGTCCGTCTAGCCATCACAGCCTCATGGACATTAGAGGTCATCTGCAGGTGACAGTTCCTCCACATATGCCAATGGAATCAGTTTTGACAGCAGTACTTACTGTGTGTACTTGTACACTCCATTCTTGGCCTCACTGCAGGGTTGAGGTGTTGGAGGAAGCCGTCTGTCAGGCAGATTACCAAGGCCAGTCCCATGGAGGATACCTGCATGAACATAACAGAACCTTACCCATGGGCAGCAAACACGCACCTCCCTCAGATTAAGAATAGATGTGTAAAAGACCAAAATAACCAACAAAACATATCTCTGTAAAGAGGAAAACATCGATTCATAGACCGGTGCACTGTATGACAGTTATTCCCACTAATGGTGTTGGGAAGTATATACCTTGTCCAGTCTGAGAGACAAACTCTGCAGCTCCTCCAATAGGCTTAGTGACGATGCCCACCAGCCCCTTCCCCATCCCGGCCACCAGCCCTGTTGCTGTAGCTGATGTTGATGTTGGCCGCTCACTCTGGGAACGGCTGATGAGGCTCTGGATGGGCTGGTCTGCTAGACCTGCCACAGCACCTACAACACATCAGGGAGGTTGTCAAAACTGATTAACTATACTATCAAAACCAACTGCATTAAAACAGTATAAAAATATCAACAGTATTAGTAAAATTTGCATCTACCAAAGATTCCTTCCTACCAGGAGAACAAAGCATCATCGAACATTTTATAGTTGTGACAATAGGCATAAGACAACTGGGCATAAAAGTACATGCCACAATCATGACAGAAAAGCTACATTTTTTTAGCCCAGCGTAAATTAGCAAAAGCCAAAGAATCACTGCAGCTACCTAATACCCTGTGACAGTAAAACAAGAGAGCATGAACAGGGTAAAATCAATAGGGCATCACTGCATACATTTTCAACTGCTTTACATACAGAAGAAACTCAAATAGACGTATAATTGACAGGATCATTCCGTCAGAGGATCAATGAAGCTTACAGACCACAGACATGCACAAACATGACACAGTTACATGAGGCAGAAACTGTGTATAACAATCAGATGTGTGTGATCTAATCCTTACCCAGCAAGCTAATCCCGAAGCCTGTAAGTCCTTGTTTCAGGCCATCTGACACACCAACAGGACGATTCCGTCTGTTCTCTTCCTGCCGCTGTAAGTGGCCTTCATCAAGAGATAGACGGTCCATGTTCCTTGAAACACTGGACGCGGAGTTGGTCACTGATGTGATCATTCCTGACAGGGGCACAAAAATCACTGTACAGATTGAACTCTAGAAAAAAGACTACCATTGTACCAGGTAACAATACATAAATTGTTGGAGGATAGATCAATGTGACCATAGTCATTTTTTGAAAGTGACAATACTTAGTGCACATTTTAAGTTCAGGCAAAATCTAAAATTTGTTCTGACTCATACAGCATTTTATTGAACAGCTCTTTATTGAATCACTGGAACATGAACATAAACTACCGTAATTACAATTTTGTTCTTGTTACAACCATGACACATACTTCCCTACTGTAAGAAGCATAAGGATAATATTTTAACAAATTTTGAAAATGTTTGTTCCCCACCAGCTGAAACATTCCTCAACAGGGACGACATTCCTCCCGAGATTCCTCCAATGAAGGCCCCCTGGTCCCCGTGTGAGACCTGTGTATGGCAGGCGGAACATGTCCGCTACTCCTGTCCCAATACTCCGCACCAGTCCGGTCGGGTTTCCCAGGATCTCAAGTGACCCAACAACAATACCTGAAACAACAAAACACTGCTACTTACAGACATGTTTAATGCAGTACACCACACATATGCAAACAGGCAATAACTGGGACATCTGCGCTGATATGCAGTTCCAATCAAAACATCACTTTTTAAGTCACCTTAATAAGGAATATACTAAGGTTTAGAAACAAAGACTTCTAGAAAGAATTGATTTGGCTAAAGACAAATGACATTAGGCCCTTTTTGTGATTATAACTTTCCATAAGACACTCATCTGTCATTACTGAATCTGGAAATATCTTAACAACATATTGGATAGAAATCAGTCAATATCGGTGACAATGATTAGAACTGGAACCTTGTCAATTGCGCTAAACTAGAACTCATCAGAGCAATTGCCAAACACTAACTCCTTAATTCAAGTCAAGCAAGCTGCAACTCGGTTCTGTCTCTTAGCCACAAATCCAAAGTATTGTTAGTGAAACAATTTTATTGGCCCATTATGAGAATGACATGGAACTTGACATTATTTTCTATATATTTATGATGGATACAAACTAACACAATCCATGATGATGTTACTACTGTACCTGCTCTGAAGATCGCTCCAGAAGCATAGTGCATGGCTAGCGCTCTGGTCAACTGATGACAACTAGTGTACAAGTTTTTCCTCTCAAACTTCCCAAACGACAGTGGGGTATGATCCGATGCCAGGAATAACTTCATTGAAGCATGGACACTCAACAACATACTGATGGGATGAATACACAAATAATGAACCCTCACAGGTTCACTCAGAGCCACAGCAGCTGATTCAACACATTTGGGCAAACGTTTCACCTTGATTGGCTTGTTTCTATCACAGTGTAAAATATTAGGAATGAACCCTTCTACTTCCCTGAGCAGCTTGTAAATGAAGGTGTCATCTATGTACAGAGAGAGGGGCGATAGAGACAGTTCCACAGATTCCGTTACGGTGTTACCAGCATCATCAGCTGTCAGAACAAGCTGAGCATGGAGGAAGCTGGACAATCGGAGGACAGCATGTTTCTCTGTCACTGTCATCTTCTCAAGGTCTGGCATGTTCATCTCCTCGGTTTTCTGCTTGACCAGGAGCACCGGGAAGTCGTACTGACCCTGGCCGTACTTGGTTGTCCAGCTGTATTGTCCCCACAGACAGTGAGATGCAGGACTTGGCCTCAGTGCTGTCTGCCGATGTGCTGACTGGGAAATGGGCAGCATAGACACTGTCACAACACAGCCTCAACACTTCTGACACTGTCTCTGTCGATGTGGTCTCATCCATCATTACAAAGGATACATGCTCTATGAACACACCAGCAACATAAACAGATCCTGATTTGTCTTTCGTCCTTACAACTTTACTTTCAGTCTTTGATACATCTACACCAGAAGACACAGTTTCAGTGCTTTCTGGCGTCACTTCAACCACTTTAGTTTTTGTTTCCGCACCTTTCAACCGACTCCGGATCTCCTTTGCTGATATCTCAGCCTTACTGATTGGTTCGATTGTGATGTGTGTTACTGTAGCAATCTTCCTCGACTGGACTTTGATGTCGGCTACATCCGGAAGTTTGACGAAAGTGTCATTGTTTGACATAACATCCACTCCATTGCTCCAATTACTCCGTTTGAAAGAACCGTCATCCTGAGTCAAGTTAGCACAGAAATGCATTCTGGGATATGTGATGGCATCTGCTGCAGGGTATTGGTTGTTAACATAAGGCATTGTGTAGTGGGTGGAGCTGCCAGGGTCAAGGGTTGGGAGGTCATCCAGTAGCTCTGCCTCCTCTTGGACCACAGTTCCTGAACATGACAAGAACATAACCATGATGAGCATTCAAAGTTCATGAATTCATCAATTTTATCAAATATCCAATACATATCCAAGATAACATGTCTGGCAGATGACACAATTTAACACACATTTCCTCATTGGTTTTTGGTGGTGGGGTAGCCTCGTGGTTAAAAGCATCTGCACCAAAGACATGGGTTCGATTCCCCACATGGGTACCTTGTGTAAAGCCTAATTGTGGTGTGGCCACTGTGATAATGCTGGAATTTTGCTAAAAGTGGAGTTAAACTAAACTCACTCACTCATCCTCAATGGTTTGTGGTAAATATGGCATACTGGGGAAATATTCTATTCCTGAATCTAAACAGGCATGGAAAATCATTAAAAATATTGATTTACTTTTATCTGTTGATTAATGCATAACTCAGTAACATTCTAGCTATTTGACAAAGAAATATGAAATTAAATCCAATTGAGAAGCTACAACATTCAAATGTGCAAATCTTGAGATGTAACAAACCTGAGAGTGTAATGTTCATCAGAGCCTGACCAAAGAGGATTGGAAAGGAACAGTTGTTGGTGATGACACACATTGGTCCACAGTCCTTTGCCATAACAAGGTATGTAACTCCATCATGAATTTTGGCAGTGACACAATAAGGTTTCGTACAAGCCTCATCTGGTTTGCAATTTGGCACAGAAACACACAACCTAGCCCCATCTTTGTTTGAAGCAAGTCTCAAAGGTAGAGACCATCTTGAACTTTCCATTTCTGAAGAATCTGCCGTTTCTCTTATTGCAAGATAGTGAACAAACCCTGAGTCTTCAATTTCTTCTTTTTCAGGCAGAATCAAACTCCATGTCAAAAGAGAGCAAACATTTTCTTCGGTCTTTTCTACATGTTTGTGTGATGGAACGAGTTCTGGAGACTGAGAATAACTCTTATTCCTCCAGTTGACCTTGGAATGACCCAGTGGCACAGCCAGCAGACGCAGCTCAAACTGAGCAGACGTCAAGTTGGTGATCGTGAACCTCTCTCTGATTGTTACTATTCTCATGTCCTGCTTCATCTCAGAGACAACAGTTAGGAACATGGCCTGAAATGGGAAACTGATAGTTGTATATTGACATTACATTACATTTGTTACTTTACAGCTGTAAGCCGTAGCAATGCATAGGAGACTGTGGAATAATTGTGTCCATAATTTAAGGAATTAAAATGGAGTTAAATGACATGTAATTGCTGGAAACTGAAGGCAATTGACTGTCATCCATACAAATTAGCAACAAATGTTATTTCATGAATCCTTATAATATTGTTTAACCATTTTGAAGAACCTACCAATATTTGTAGGGTCGAGTTTGTTGAATGTCACTGAGTGACAAATGTGATATATGTTATGTACTTTGTGTAGCCCTCTGATAAGGGTAAATTGGCACAGCTCCCATCCCGAAAGCCATGAATATACAATGCTTTTAGAAAGTGGTTATGTAACAGGCGTTAGTTTTGGAATCACACTTTCTCACATACCAACAGAGCCTGATTCTGAGAGTGTGGGTTCAAATCCTTGATGGGACTCGACTCCCAGAAGTACAAGAATCTCTACTGAGATAGGTAATCTGTGTAATCCTAACTATAACATATGGAGCTGTGACAGGGAGGGAGACCAGAGACAATCGATGTGTTTCACTGTAAAGTGGTACCTGGGGGTTGTCTCCAGGGATCCTGATGGTCGTATGGACATAGCCATCCACAAACAGAACACGACCAAGGTCAGGGCTGTACCTCTTGTTGGCAACTTCGTCCTCCGATATAGGGATGGCTGGAGTGGTCAACACCTTACCCTTGTGATACAGGCCAATATGGAACTCATTGTCCTGAAACATTACAGAATTCAGAAGTACATGACACAGACTAACCAGAAATGAGTGAGTGAGTTTAGTTTTACGCCACTTTTAGCAGTATTTCAGCAATATCATGGCGGGGACACCAAAAATGGGCTTCACACATTGTACCATGTGGGGAATTGAACCTGGGTCTTCGGCGTGACGAACAAATGCTTTAACTACTAGGCCACCCCACCGCCCCCAAAAACCAGAAAAGTGATCACTGGTGGAACTAGTCATTGATCTGTCCACACACTTAACATTCTCGTTCATTGTAATTGTTAGAATTCACAAGGGCCTCCTTATGAACACATGTTCCTTTTATGTTATGTTTTATGTCATACAGGTGTTTCTAAAGGGTGTTCAGGTTTATTTGCTTCTCTGAGTAAAGTGTTTCAAATGTCTATGTTCTAAAATGTAGACTAAAATCAGGATTAAGGAACTAGCAAGGTCCAGATGAAAAGGATGCAAGCTTCAGATTGTCTTCTAGCTCAAATATGTGCAATTATTGCTGTACAGGCCAGGGTATCATAATACAAAACAACATTAGTCCAAGACTCTCATAAGTTTTGTGTTAAAGTATTTAAGTTAGTATTTTAGGATGTCAGGCTAAGAATGCTTCGTACAATGATCCCTAGATCATTACTAACCTGGAAGGACGGTGGTGTGTAGGTCTTGCCGTGTGGGATGTCAGACAGATTGCCCGTGGTGTTGAGGAGGACGAGCGTGATGCCACTGAGGTTGGTGATGAGGCACCAGGGTGTGATGTCCACCAGGAGGGTGCTGCAGCCCGGCATGTACTCCGACAGGCGGATACTCAGGTCCACACTCGGCTGCTGGACATCGGTCTCAGCCTCAGACAAGCAGGACGTCTTTGTGGGAGGAAAGCTGCCAAATGACTCTAGACTGTACCAACAGAAAACAACATGAGTTCATCGCAGAAAAGGCTCAGCAAGAATCCTTCCTCTGACAGCTGGAAAGGAATGTTTATACACTGGTATCAAAGGAGTAATACTGACTTTACTTTGTCTAAATACTCAACTCTTATTGGTCAGTTACTGCTGTCAAATCATAATAACAAGCCCTGATTGATGCAAGTAAGGTAAACTTTATAGAAATTACATTTTCCCCCAAATCACCTGTCTTACTTATAAAGTATTTGCAAATTTATAGGTCAAAATGTTGAGTTATATGGACAACCGAAACTATTCAAAACCGAAAGCATAAGTGGCACTACATAATGAAAATTTAATGTTTGAACTTTAGGGAAACTACAGAAATTATTCTATAAAATGTTTGCTTTCAAAGTACCTCTGCTGCATACTCAGAAAGCCTCTTATATAGGCAAGGAAAATATATGAACTATAAAAAATGTTTTAGAATAGAACCTGTTTAATTTGTAATTTCCTGTCTTTAAGGAAACTATTAACAGTATTCAATAATTCATGACCACTCCATATACAAAACTCTTTAAACATTGACCATGAATCCCACAACTAATGCCAACACATGCGACATACATACCTATCCATGTCGGGGAAGCAGTACGGCCAGGTGAGAGAGGGGTCAGTGGGCTGGTCGTAACACAGCTGGTCTATGTCCACTCTGCCCGGTGTGTGGTGCTCCACCTGGTCAATGAGGCCTGTGGACAGCACTAGAGGGGGACTGGACTTGGGGAGGGTCGGACTGCAACACAACACACAGTCTCTGACATGACAGTTTGGGAAAATAATAGGGTCCTTGGGTTTGCTTTAACTTTTGACATCAGGACAAGGACTCCTTGACTTACATACCTAATTTGAAACACTACAAGACAACAAGATGCTGAAAGGAAAACGACACTGCAAGAATAAGAGGTTTTTAAACTAGAACTGCGTGATTGGGATTCAGAATACAGTCAGGCATGTTCTGGCCAAAAGGTTCATTGCCTAATAGTGTCCAATATCCAAGCCCAAATTTACCCCAAAGTACCTGCACCAAATTCTGTAGATGTTTGTGTTATTAGATGGACAACTGTCTCAGCAGGCCGTAACAGTCACACACTACGTGGGTACTTACGCCAGTCTGAAGGCCAGGTTGTGGAGTGATGTCCCCTCCCACTGTCTCAGCAGGACGCTACAGTCACACACTACATGGGTACTTACGCCAGTCTGAAGGCCAGGTTGTGGGTGATGTCCCCTCCAACACAATGCAGCTGATATTCATAGGCCTGTCCCGACACCTGCAGCTGCTGCTTCTGTTTCAGTCTGGGCGTGTCCATGTCCACGTACAGGGGGCGGGGCAGGTGGGAGCGCAGGATGTACAGGGGGGTCAACAGCACCTGACACAGTGAGGGAGCACATCATATAAAAATATTTGACAAATGACAGAAATAATCACATTTACGTTCCCTTTCACAATGGTTATCATGATTATAAAAGCATGTTTGTGACTAACGGCAAAACTTCATTTTCAAAAAGTAGGCAAGGGAGTAAATATTCCATGCAAAACATTTATGAAACTATCAGGGATGGCAACAGGAAAATCTATTTGCAGCGGAAAACTTAATATTGTGTCATCGAATGGGGGTTTCTCAATGGATTTAGACGATTCACAATTGAACAATTTGAAATAAAATCCACGGAAATCTGCAGAAAATTGCCACCCTGAACTTTACTTTCTATATCAAATTAAACTGAACATCAGGCAGAGTATCTCGTGATCTGGAGTTATTCATGTCCTGTATGTCCCATACTTTACTCCTGCAGGATCTGAGCCTGGAGAGCAATATGTTAATGCTGGGCTTTAGGATTCATTTTGTCATTAATGTGTTCTAACCCGTGAAGGTCCGGGTAAGAATGTGCCTTCAGTAACCCATGCTTGTCGTATGAGGCGAATAACGGGATCGGGTGGTCAGGCTCGCTCACTTGGTTGACACATGTCATTGGTTCCCAATTGTGCAGATCAATGCTCATGCTGTTGATCACTGGATTGTCTGGTACAGACTCGATTATTTACAGACCGCCGCCATATAGCTGGAATATTGCTGAGTCTGTGGTTAAAGTGTTTGTTTGTCATGCCAAAGACCTGAGTTTAATTCCCCACATTGGTACAATGTGTGAAGCCCAGTCAATCACTATTTTTAAATCAGTGACCTCCATTGTGAGATATTTAACACAGCTACAAAAAATATGCTGCTGTTTCTTTTCTTCATTTTGGGATTAGCTACAAAATCTATCCATCTGAGATATAATGACATTAACAGTATTTTTTATGGGAATTATCCTTTGCAGAAGCCCTCAGTCTGTTCAACTGCCCTCTTTTCCCAATAGACCTCAGTATACCAACTAAACAAAGTGACTCACTTCATGTACCATTCTTCGAAATCAATTCCATCCCTTTCTTTAGTGTGAAAAGCAAAGACTTTACAATGGTAGGTCCATGACACATAAGATATACATGCTTATCATAAATTGTTGAATAAACACCCAGGGTTTACTTACTTCCGAAGATCCTAAAACCCAGCATTTATTCAATGGAGGTGTTTATTTCTATTCAAAGAGGATTTTTCCATCAATGCCTTGTGTGTTTCCTTCCAGAAATAAAATACAGCCATTCACAGTATTTTCACTATTAATAATGTCAGTGTGAGACCCAACTCTTATTCAAGGCAAATGGTCGTTTGATTCAGCTTTTATTCAATGCAGGCATGTATTCAAGGATTTATGTAAGTTTTTCAACACTTTCTCTGGAAGTGACTAATACAGACAGTATTAAGGGTACATGTTCCCCACAAATATATAAACATCAAAACCTGTGTTAGAAGAAAAAAGCATTCATTCTTCATCAAATTCATTCATCAAAATATTAAACATCAATATATGCAGTAACCTTGAGAAACACATGAAAATAAGTAATTATGGAAACAAGCATTAAACTGTTAAGCAGACCAAAGCTCCTTCTCAATGGTACATGAAGTTAACAGAAACAGAACAGTAGAACTAATTCTTTTAGTTTAGTGGACAGAAAGACCAGGATCATATTGTGACTGAAGGACAGAAAAAACACTTTCTCATTATTTCACTAATCTAAAAGAAGTTCAAACGAAATTAAAGAAAAACAACACTGAAAAACAGGATGAAAGTAAACTATGTTCCCGATAGGAGTCAGCTGCATACATCCCATGATAGAAATCTTGACAGGATGGGGCATAGCATGGGTCAAAAGCACATGGATGTCCCAGACTGGCAGGGAAATAACTGTCAACCAAACACAACATACTACTTTCCAGTCAAAAACTATGCTACTTAAAAGAAGTTAGGGTCCGCCCATTAACTTCATATCAGAACCCAATCTTTTCATATTACTATAATCAGTCTGTCCTGACATGGCAGACTGACTGTAGTATTATGAAGAAGGAAAATGTATAACAATATGTCAACCAAAGACAACAAATCCAGTTTCTTATCGATATAAATAGTACTCGAAAGTAGTTAAGGACCACATCTCTTTTTTATGAGTACCAGATTTGTCCATACATGTTGAATTTACCAGATTAGCTATGGTAATATGAAGGAACTGAGTGTACTTGAACTTATTTTGAATGGTATATATCATCTGAAACTTGGACTCAACATAAAAAGATTGTTAGTCCTGAAACGGAACCTGCTAATTCTGACAAATATTGATTCCTCAGTGATCAGCCAGCCACTGTTCATTGTGTTCGATCACTGACATTGATCTCAAACGACATACACAAACACATTCCACAGATTTGGTTTTAGATAGTTCCTTCATGTCATCTCATAGTCAAATATCATTGGTTTCGTTTAACAACTTCAAACAGTGTAAATAACTTTCTCTTTTTATTTTAAAGAAAATGTTCACTAAAGCCACACAGATAACAAATACATCTAAATGTGAATCAATTATTTTCAAAGTAAACAACATTGCAATTGCTTTGATTGACATCAAAACAGACTAAAAGAATAAACAGCAGGAGAAATATCCAACATCTATGACAGCCACAGTATGAAGTAGAATGAGGGAAACTCACCATGCGTTTGGTTGCAGTCATTATCAATTTAGCATCCTTATAAATGGATTGATAAAAACAACAGTTAATAGCTCTGGTGATAGATAATATCTCGTTTCTAACAAATGACTGTCTAAAATGTACTGGCAACATATTACAGTCAGTAAAAATTAATGGGAATGTGGGTTGTTGGTTGAAAAACCTTGTTCAATAGGACTGGATCAAGGATGTTTTCTGGCAACTCACTGCATATTGAAATATCTTAGTAAGTATATACTGATCAATAACAGTTTTCCTCAATCCCAGTTTGAAAATTATGGGATTCAACTTGGCAAAAGGTGATATTTATCTGTTTCGTTGATATTTATCTGAAGAACTTGGGCTGCTAAACTTTGAGATTCAGTTGTTAGGAAAGCATTTCCAGGGTGATGTTACTTCTGCTGATATCACTGTTATTTTCGTTAAATATTTCATTTTGCAATATCAACAAACATTAGGGGTTCTTAGATTTGCAAGTTTTTCGAGAATATGACGCACAGAAATTATAACTTTTAACACCCACCAACAATCGATGTCATATATGTACCATGGGCAGAATTGCAGCTGTATCATATCGAGCTAAAATGTTCATGGATAAAGGGACTTGTTGTTAACTAACATTATGAATTTTCATCTGTTTTTTTTATCACATAAGTTCAATGGGGTATATATTCTGTAATGAAACTAGTACCCAGTATGTGTTCCTTGATTAAAACTTTGAACATTAATTCATCAAGTAGAATCGGTAGTTACTGGCCACTTGTCGAATAGTTCTAGTCTTACCAGCAGTATCAATCTCAAGCAAATATAATTGTCACAAAACATTCAAAGACATCAAATTATCCACATGCTTGGACGTATAATCAACCCTGCATATATTTATACAACATCGACAACACATCAATAAACAATAACAATAAACAAAAGTCCTACATAAATAAAAACAGAATGAACAATACCAATGTATGACATGCGATTTTCAGCTGAGAAAGATTCTAGCAGTCTGCATTTACTCCAACAATATGAACCTGTCAACATCTTAGCAGGAAACAAGCCCTGTAAAGGTAGTCATCAAGTCTTACTGAAAGGAAGACTGACAGTATCACATGGCCAAATATGTGGGCATGTAACTCTTTTCTGATCCTCTACAATTTTTCTCAAAAACAATATATTCCAGCAACATTAAGTTTTCTAAAATGCCCTGTGTTTTTGTTTCTCAAAGATAACACCCAAGCTGTTAAAGAATGGTGGCTCCGAGGTTGTCATAACTAGCATGGGATCTTGTTGTAATTGCCATGAGCATTGGGCAGTTGAGTTGGTGAGTTAAGCTGTTGTCAATAATATTCCAGCAATATCACGGCAAGATGTGGTCAACCATGACCTTTGGTATGATAGGTAAACTTTACCTCTCAGAAAACCTAGTATCCCAATCTTGTCAAAATACATTTGTCCATCTACATTTTTGAATATCCCTGGTCTTCAGTGTTATGAAGAGACATCAGTCTCATACTGTCTCCTGCAACCAACTCAATCCCCACGCCCAATGCTTCACCTGTTGGAACAGGTGACACATATGTGTGGTCGATTGTCTTCAACTGTAGTTTACCAAATTACTCTTCTGGAGGAAGTATATCTCTCACAGGGCACACTTGGCAAGAGGAACTGTATTAAGACACATAATTTCCCCATTACTTAAATTTCATCCACAGAATAAGGTTATAGAAACCTAAGCTTAAGGTAATATGAACATAAGGAAAAATTACCAGACCAATTTCCCTTTCTAACCAAGAAGTACAAGAATCCTTATATACCCTGAATCTCAATGAGAGCCTTATGTACAAGGACAACAAATACCACAGGGGTTACTTGTTACAATTGTCAAGGAGCTTGCTTGTTGTGCCAAGGACCTGGGCTCAATTCTCCACATGGTACAGTGTGTAAAGCCAGTTTCTGGGGTCTCCTGCTGTGATATTGCTGGAATATTGCTAAAGTTTTCCCCAAACCACACTCAGTCTCTATTACAATAACTGATGACCTTGACCCATGGATGTCAAATATTCATGATAATGATGACCTTGCATCGTAACCATGACCCTGTGTGAACTACTTACCAGAGTCTGTACTTGTGTTTTGAAGTGCTGACAGAAGATTCGGCACCAGACATGGATGTAGGTAGACTTGTCTGGGAGGGGGATCTGCAACAAGAGTCAGACAAATGGTGTAATGTGCAGACGTTGACCACTGACAGCACGTCAGTCGCATCAGCTTACATTATACAAGACTTAATGTAATTCTCCACTGGGTCCATTGTTAAACACAAATTCCAATGCGATGTACACTGTCATATACTTTGTAATATAAGACTACAGATCATAATGTGGGAAGAATATGACATTTGAACCCTTGAACTCTGGATCCTAGCACAACTAAGGGAGGTAAGAGTAACTTGTGGTGCTTCAGATCATTTGGCCTCCCTTGCCCCTGCTACCAGTAAATGTTGATGTATGGTGTATAACATATGGAAAACTAAGACCATTGATCATGATAAAGTTCAACATAACTAAGGAATTTTCAGATACAATTTCAATGTAAATGCAAGATAATGATTTGTTCAGTGTCCAGAGTGACCAAGACAATGAGACTTACCTTGACCAGTCCATTCTCCTTCATCCTGTCCCCATTGACATGTACTTCCTGTGACCACGTTGTCTTCAGACCCAGCACCCGGAACTTCACCCCCACAACCTTCTCCTGCTCCACGATGAATGACGGCGCTGTGTGACCGGGCACCGAGGATACATGTGCTCTCCTTCACAGAGTTGTCTCCCCCTGAGGTCATCAGACTGACCTCCATGTGCTGAGAGAGTCGACTGGACATGACAAGCTGACCACTGATGATGATCTGTAGAAACATTGACAGATGGAGACTTCGTGCATCTAATTCACTTCAAAGGTTCAGTATGGCTTTCAATACACTGCTTCAATTTTTTTCAAATTGTATCCTGAAAAAAGTTCATTGAAACCTACAAAAGTCAACGTACAGAAAACAAAATTCATGATCTTTTGACATGTGTTGCTCTTATTAAACAGCAATAACTGACTTTCCTTTGAATTGCATCTTCTGGTTTGTAGAAAATAATGTGTTGCTATCCATCTAGAGAACCATATCCATATATTGTTCTTGGATTAACATTTCAGCTGGTACCAATGCTCACTTAGCTATTTCTTAAAATCAGGTCAATGTCGTATGTCAAGAGTTCCAAAACATACATGAAAGATTGGGATATATGTCTAAAATGATATTTTGTATCCTATGATTGTACATGGGCTGATGGCCTACTTACAGAAATAAATTCAACAACTATAAATTCAACAACGATATATGCAAATATCAGTGGGCTGATGCTTCATTCTATCCAGGTGAATATTACAAGCTATTGCAGAATCTTGTCTATAGCTCTATAACATAGCTTCTATAACACTCACTCCACCACCCCTCACCCCACACTTTCTAAATTAAATGTTCTGGGAGCAGCTCGACCTAACAATGAGCTGCTCCTCAAAGTTATATATTTAAAGAATGAACATATCCTTAATTGTCTGAACTCAAAAAGGTCTCAAGAGATCTCTTGACCTCATTCTTGTTCTCATATTTAGACGAAAAAGAAACCCTCTTTCACCAAACTGGTCACCATATACAAGGATATGTTTTACGGTGCATATGTACTTGGCACAGTTGAAAGCTTCACCTCACCCTGTGTTCTCATAGCTGTGACTGAGCCTGACTGAGTTTGGTTTTACGCCACTTTTAGCAATATTCCAGCAATATCACGCGGGGGACACCAGAAAGGGCTTCACTCATTGTACCCATGTGGGGATTCGAACCCGGGTCTTCGCCGTGACGAGCCAACGCTTTAACCACTAGACTACCCCACCGCCCCTCATAGCTGTGAACCATGAAGATCTGGGTTAGAAGTAGTCTTCAGTAACCCATGCTTGTTGTAAGAGGCGACTAATGGATCAGGAGGTCAGGCTCACTGACTTGGTTGACACATGTCATCTTATGACAATTTGCGTAGATTGATGCTCATGCTACTGATCACTGGATTGTCAGGTCCAGACTCTATTATTCACAGACCGCCACCATATAGCTGGAATATTGCTGAGTGCAGCATTATATAATAAGAAAAAACAAACCAAATTTCATTGCTGTACCTTCATAACCCAAAAGTCTTGTGACTTGCCCTACAGGGTGTAGTTTTGTATGTTTGTAAGTTGCCACACTAAGCAATATTCCAGGGATATGATATTCAACTCTGGACCAGACCAAAGAATTATTGACTCCATGAACATGGTTCTACACAACTGACATGTTGTTCTACCTGTTTCTGGGTGTTGGTGAGCTGCTTGATCTTAATGATGACAGTGTAACTCTGGTCCTTGGCCCGTAACTGCTCGGATCACGCTTGTATCGGTGTTGATGTCAAAGGGGTCGCACCACTTCCAGCTGGGCTGGTCCATACACACGTGGAGCAGCTGTAACCATGGTTATATGGAAATTGTAGCATCAGAATGAATGAATGTGTACATCCACAGATGAAACAGCATCTGGAATTGTCAACTAAACAATAAAACTCACAAAAATGGGGAGGTTTAAAACTATCCAAACCCAGGGGTACATAGGTGGTATGTGGTGCATATTCTAGGCCAAAGGTAAGTAAAGACATCAGGTTTTTGTGTACTTGACAAAAAGAGTTAGGGTCATGGTGTCTGCTCATCATGATTAGTGACCAGGGTGAAAGAAAGAGAGAGAGAGTGAGTTTAGTTTTACGCCACTTTTAGCAATATTCCAGCAATATCACGGCAGGGAACACCAGAAATGGGCTTCACACTTTGTACCCATGTGGGGAATCCAACCCGGGTCTCGAGCAAATGCCTTTACCACTAGGCTACCCCCCAGCCCGGGTGAAAGATAGATTGACATTGTGTAAAGGGTAATCGTTAATGGTAATGGTAACTTTTGTACAGGAATGCATCATAACATTTGAAACAGCAGACGTACATGGTACTTTATGTGCAACTTTAAACACACGTGTCTGTGCATGACTGACCTGTTTGGTCTTGTGCGACCTCCAGCTGTAGCAATGCATCTCCCGAGAAGCCAGAGCCAGGTTCTCATCTGTACCAACCTGCAGGATGGGACGTTACAACACTTCATGTAAAAGACATACGTACAAGTTTCAGCATAATAATGATGATTAACCAAATGAACTTTCACCATATCTGTCACTAAATACATTGTTATGGGGATATCTTTCTTTTGCCCAAATTCCTGCTTCAACTAGAGCTAAGAGATATCAAACACCTGAATAAAGTTGTGTCTAATCATGCTAATGATTATACCAATCTTAACAACATGAAGTATGATAGAGGGTTATATTGAACAAACTTTATGGATAACAACTTCTTTCAAGAAGGATCCTACTGCAAAGCTCAATCATCAGCATGCCTTTCCCTTTGTCAACTCACAGGCTTTATCAACTTACTACCTAACCATTTATGTTAATTATGTTGTTTTCTTTGTTGCATTCAGTATTTTTTTATTATTATTATAGGATATTTATATAGCGCACATATCCACGCATGCTCAAGGAGCTGGTATTTGTTCCCTCGATCATTGGATGTCAATCTCAACAGCACATCTTATTATCAATCTCAACTCCCTGGGGACCATACAACTCTTGCTGCCACAAGGCGCACTGAGTCAGTGTGGCTTTCCCACCCTAACGAGGTACCTATTCACAGCTGTATGAACTTTGACACATAGTCACAGTACTTTGTCCAAGTTTACTGCATGTTGCTTACCCACAACTAGGTGTTTGTACGTATTCATGTGGCCACCATCTCGTCATATACCAATGGATTCGTGGGTTCTTTTAAGTGCACAGGTTTGGGTAATGTACACTAGGGGTTGTGACAACACTGAAAGAGTCTGCACACAAAGTTGACTCCTAGGTTTTTACACCCGGTCACAGGTGGGCTCGATCCCGGCACCTCATGCTCGCTGGATCACTAGCCTGGCGCCTTAGCCAGCTCGCCCACCGCGCCCCCCAGTACATGTATATATACATCTCCCTCCTTTTCATGTTACATTCCTGCATGACAATGGTACAAGAATCTGTATCGAAACATCGCACTCACGAAAAAAAAGAAGTTGCTATCATTATAGTTTGTTCAATATTGTACTTCCCAACTTTCAAAATGCCAATCAAATAAAGTGATAGAGTCTTGTCTGGAGCTGACAAACTTAAATGTTTAGAAAACATTTATTGAAAGTGTCCATGATACTAGCCTCTATCTCAGACTTGCTAATTTAACTGCCTAACAACAACAAGGGCAGAGGTATGTCTGAGTATCTTCTGCCCACTACATGTGTCCCAGTACATGTACCCACTCCCAAGATGCATCAGTCACCAACACACACAACTGGATGTCCTCACCTGGCCGAATCTGACCGTCTGCTGTGTATCATTGCATACAACAATGTGACTAAACACAGCCTGTGCCTTTTTTGAACCAGTTTCGCCATTCAGCTGCAAAATATATAGATATAAAATATGGCATCAAATGTGCCCTGCATTCTGACTGGTTGAAAAACAGTTTCATAGGCATGAGAACCTTTAATTCTTCTGACTTTTAACTGTGTATGAAAAGTCACAACACTGACTTTTCACTTTTATATGAAAATCCTTGGTCAGGCATATCATTTCTTCCTGAATCCTAAATTTGAAACTGTATGTACTTCCACTTGTCAAAACGGAAACCATATTACGCATCATTAAGTTTGCTCAATATTAATCAGATCAACTTTGATTGTGATACTTTGGTTGACATGTTGCTGAACAGCAGGTTCACTTCTTGTCCAACACAAAACCTTCAGACTTACAAGTTGTAAAGGGAAACAAGGAGCTAAGTGTAGACTCACCATACTCCATGCCTGTAGAGATGTAGTGAGAGTGTGCACTGCCCCGCTCCCCACCCTCACCACTGCTGGGCCAGTCTTGCAGTTACACTCCATAATCGGTGGCTGAAATTGGAACACAAGTTATACACTGAGGTTAGTTGTATCATCAGTGTATGAAAAAAGGCCTGTCTGACTGCCCGAGACAGGCTACATTTCTGATGGACGGCCTTAATTTACAGCTCACCAGACCGATGGTACAAATTTTAGACAACATGTTCCATACATTTGAGTAATTTTCTTTGGATTGTCTGGTCTGGTTAAATCCATTTTGGGCTGGTAACATTTTGACGTCTGGCTGGGTTTTGGCTTATTTCATACACTGTTATCATCAAAGATTATTCTGATGCTTGATGGGCATTTAGAAAGATTATTCTGTTTGCCGTAACAAACAGTTGGGGCTACATGTGGTAGATGTCCTACCTTCTCTCTGTGAAGCACCACCAGGTAGCCGTCCATCATAGTGTGCTGCAGCACGATGTCCATCGTCAGGTTGCGATGCTCCAACACCTCCAGCCTCACTGTGGTAGACACCTGCACCCAACAAGGAGGAGTCAATACACCACACACACCAACATTCTAAACTGTGTTTTCTTCAATTGGACCTCAACCTGCTTGTACAGAACAATGTTACTTTCCTTAGAGATACTTAAACACAACAATTTTAACTCTACACCCAGCATTATGCTCACAAGATCAACCATTCCAGAATCATGTTCCACAAAACACCCATATACCTCACATAGACGGAAAACAGCTGTACCTTTCATTTTAGTCAAATATTTTACTAATCATTAACTGGCAAACATTTTCCTGCCTCAAGACAAGCACAGCAAATGATCCGGCCATGGGAGACTTATCTGCTTCAACAGCATACTGACCTGAACCTCGGACCTGCTCGTGTGACCTAGCAGATGTGAGAAAGAGGCAGAGAGGTCATCTATGGTGAGTATGGCAAACTCATGCTCCTCGGATTGAGCAGACATCATGGTGTAAGGAGACAGCTTGGTAGGGACTCCTGGAAGCAGAGATTGTATCAGTAATGTGTCATAATGGAACCAAGCAAACTAGACAGACAGGCGTTTCCATTCCATGCAAAAACAGATGCACACGCCATCCAAATGTTATCCTGAATGCTGGCTTACTATTTGAAACATGCATCATGAACCACTTGACTTTAAAAATGTTTGGAGACTGTTGACTTCACACAAGTCCAATGCAGTACAACTTTTCAAACAAGAAAGCCTGTGCCTCCAGCTACCTTAATAACAAAGTTATAAGCCCTCAGATTCTTACTACTTCTGGTTAAGGAAAACATATGACCCATGCAATATAATTTTGAAACATGTCTATGCCTCTTGCTACAAATCTTCACCCAGTCATGGGTGTTGACTGAGTACTAAAGGTTATTATGAGTTATCCCCCTTGTATATACTTACTATTGGTCAATAAGAATTGTCCTATTATATCACATACCATTACCTAATTACTGACATGAACTACTCTTACCCAGTTTCTGATGACATACCCTTACCTAAACACTGGCATGATATGCCCTTACCTAATTACATGACATGACCTTACCCTTTTTAACTAATTACTGACATGACCTACCCCTTACCTAAACACTGCCCTTTACCTAAGTACTGACATGACCTACCCTTAACTAATTACTGACATGACCTACCCTTACCCAACTTCTGACGACACATTCCCTTACCTAAACACTGCCCTTACCTAATTACTGACATGACCTACCCTTACCTAATTACTGACATGACCTACCCTTACCCAACTTCTGACGACATACCCTTACCTAAACACTGCCCTTACCTAATTACTGACATGACCTACCCTTACCTAATTACTGACATGACCTACCCTTACCCAACTTCTGACGACATACCCTTACCTAAACACTGCCCTTACCTAATTACTGACATGACCTACCCTTAACTAATTACTGACACGTTATGCACTTTCTTAAATTCTGAAATGACATACCCTTTCCTAAATACTGAAGGTGATTGATGAAGTGTAGCTGAATGGTTGCCATGGATACACATCCCTGGAAGACAGGAATGAGGCTTGGGACAAAGCAGGAGTCTACAGACATACATGCTGCAAGGGATGCAGGGAGAACCATGATATCTCTCTCAGAGTTGTCTTCCTTGACAGGTCTGTAATGGACATCAGATATTTTCATTACAAACAATATTTCTAAAACCAGTCAATGGTTTTGATATGTAATTTTCATTTTATGTATTTATAGCAGATTTTCTTGCTCTTTGCTTTCTACAATTTTCTGAAACAAAACAGAAATAAGCAATAGACTTATTTTAAAAACATTGCTGTGATTTTCATCAGTTCCACCTTTTGAATGAACATTAAATCAGTGAGAGAATGTTGTTTTATGCTTAAGACAGCTTGGTAGGGACTCCTGGAAGCAGAGATTGTATCAGTAATGTGTCATAATGGAACCAAGCAAACTAGACAGACAGGCGTTTCCATTCCATGCAAAACAGATGCACCACGCATACCATCCAAATGTTATCCTGAATGCTGGCTTACTATTTGAAACATGCATCATGAACCACTTGACTTTAAAAATGTTTGGAGACTGTTGACTTCACAAGTCCAATGCAGTACAACTTTTCAAACCACGAAAGCCTGTGCCTCCAGCTACCTTAATAACAAAGTTATAAGCCCTCAGATTCTTACTACTTCTGGTTAAGGAAAACATATGACCCATGCAATATAATTTTGAAACATGTCTATGCCTCTTGCTACAAATCTTCACCCAGTCATGGGTGTTGACTGAGTACTAAAGGTTATTATGAGTTATCCCCCTTGTATATACTTACTATTGGTCAATAAGAATTGTCCTATTATATCACATACCATTACCTAATTACTGACATGACCTACTCTTACCCAGTTTTTGATGACATACCCTTACCTAAACACTGGCATGATATGCCCTTACCTAATTACTGACATGACCTACCCTTAACTAATTACTGACATGACCTACCCTTACCTAAACACTGCCCTTACCTAAGTACTGACATGACCTACCCTTAACTAATTACTGACATGACCTACCCTTACCCAACTTCTGACGACACATTCCCTTACCTAAACACTGCCCTTACCTAATTACTGACATGACCTACCCTTACCTAATTACTGACATGACCTACCCTTACCCAACTTCTGACGACATACCCTTACCTAAACACTGCCCTTACCTAATTACTGACATGACCTAACCTTAACTAATTACTGACACGTTATGCACTTTCTTAAATTCTGAAATGACATACCCTTTCCTAAATACTGAAGGTGATTGATGAAGTGTAGCTGAATGGTTGCCATGGATACACATCCCTGGAAGACAGGAATGAGGCTTGGGACAAAGCAGGAGTCTACAGACATACATGCTGCAAGGGATGCAGGGAGAACCATGATATCTCTCTCAGAGTTGTCTTCCTTGACAGGTCTGTAATGGACATCAGATATTTTCATTACCAACAATATTTCTAAAACCAGTCAATGGTTTTGATATGTAATTTTCATTTTTATGTATTTATAGCTGATTTTCTTGCTCTTTGCTTACAATTTTCTGACACAAAAACAGAAATAAGCAATAGACTTATTTTTAAAAACATTGCTGTGATTTTCATCAGTTCCACCTTTTGAATGAACATTAAATCAGTGAGAGAATGTTGTTTTATGCTTAGTCATGAATATTCCAGATATATTACAGCAGTCTGTATTACATACACCATTTTTAAATAGGGGAATTCAAATCATCCGACATGTTCGGAACATTCACAAGAACTATTTGCATCCGCATAGGGGGCGGTTGTTTACCCTAGTGGCTAAAGCTTCCGCTCATCAAGACCCGGGTTAGATTCCCCACATGGGCACAATGTGTGAAGCCCGATTTCTGGTGTCCCCTGCCATGATATTGCCCCAGAAAATGGACTTCACACATTGTACCCATGTGGGGAATCGAACCCTGGTCTTTGACGTGAAGAATGAACGCTTTAACCACTAGGCTAACCCACCACAGAGAGCAGAGGAACTGAGGATACTGTACGTACATTGGCAGTGAATGAACTGCAGTCTGGCAAAAACTGTACAGATAGTTAGATCAAGTTATCTGGGACATTTCATAGATTTAATGTTATTTAATGTCAACATGACAGGACTTACGACGGCTCTCTCTCCCCTTCCTCCACATCATCCTCCTCGTCATCATCATCACGGTAGATGATAACTCTCCAGGTCTGAGCCACTATCAGTTCCTGGCTGTTGTTGACCTTGACCTCTGGTAGTGGCAGGGTGAAGCTCTGGTTCTCGGTCAGAGAGAAGTCTATGTGTCCCAGGTACTGCTGGGAGGCCTTGTCATAGTACTGGAGGAGACATGGAACCTGGAACACAACAACCTCCATTAGATACAGACAAACAACAGATACAAGGCCAAACACAACATCCAACTTCAGTGCGATATTATCCCATTCAGGAGCCATGTATGATGTCAGGAAAATGATCCATATAACCAGGAGAAAGAGGTTCAGTGTTAGTTTTAACATTGTTCATGAACAAATGATTATCTACTTGATATTAAAAGAAGTGTACAACTTTATGGACAACAACTTCTTGTTTATTGCATAGAGTGACATCCGAAGTAGATTCTTATACCGTTATCAGGCTGAAGTGAGCCGTATAAGAATCTAAACAGAAATGTTGCTCTATGCAGTAAACAAGTAGCTTTTATCCATAAAGTTTGTATGATTTGTTATCTACTCACCAGCTTCTAGAATGCTGATCAAACTCTTGATTGCAAAAAGTCCAAGTCTCTAATTGTATATAACATATGAGTGAGTCAATGTTATGAAATGCCAATCAGCTATTATCAATACATTAACCAACATCACAAGCCATATCACAGCAGCACTAAACATTAAGGTCTCAGCCAGACAAACCAGTCAAGACCTATTCCACATCTGAATCCCTATATGGAGAACTTGAGACAGTCAGTAATATCAAGATCTGGATTAGACAAGGATGTTGGGCAGAATCTTACCCTGTCTGGTCTGTTGTCTGATGACAGGCCGAAGGGCACAGGCATCACACTGACATGAGAGAGGACCCTTGGCTGGTAGTACGTCCAGGTCATTGTGCTGTTGCCATCCTCGGTGCTGTTACTGCTGCAGAAGACAATTTCACCGGGATTTGCTTTCAGGCCAGACCCATCTGCAAACACCAAAATATCTACAGCATGATTCTGTGATAAAAAATTTGGTAAATCGTATCTGTTCAGATGGACAGAATATGTGTCTGCTACAGTAGACCAATTGAAGCAATGTTCAGACAGAATTGCATCTGTTCAGATGGACAAAACATGCGTCTGCTACAACAGACAAAACGATGCAATGTTCACCCTTCCTTTGTTCAGAATATCAGCATGCCCGGAAATGATACTGATGCACCTACCATGATCAACGATGTACTCAAAGCCAGCAGTCCTGAGGTCATCCGTGGTCGTGTTGTGGATGAAGTGTGACATCCCTGATGCTACAGTCACATCACCTGCACCACCACTACTTTCTGGAGTAGAACTAGATTGCTTTTCTTTGCTGGGAAATCGATTCTGTCAAAAAGGAAAAGAAGAGTGGCCGTATGTTCACTTGTAACACAATGAGCAGACCTCATAGAGGAGAGTTGTTTCATACTGTAATTAACTTGTGTAAGAACAGCATGTGTCTATGAATGTTCATGGTCACTCCAGTGACTTTTGGAAGGAATATTGCTCTAAGGGAGACCAGGCTATCATGTCCATGGTCTGTTCCTATTTCATATTTAAGTCCCTGTTGTGAAGAAAAGGGCAATGTTTTAATTTCTGTTATTGAGAGTTTAACTATTGCTGGATGGAATAAAATCCAATAATGTCAATTAGCACCTGACAAAGGTGACTTAATTCAAACTTGTAAATTAGCAATTAGTCTAAACAATAACATGTTAAGTTTTCTTTACTTCCTTAGCCAGTGCTTATGAAATTATGATAAAACATTATCTTCAAGACACTTCAATGAGATATTCTATATACATCTTCAATTATTTACTGCTGACAACATCAGTAACGGTATCTGTTATTTGTGCACACAAGGTTATCCCTTCCCCAACCAATGAAAGTGCAAAATGAATTTCTTCTGCAGTACTAGTAACATATTCAATTAGCAAACACTTTGATATTTAGGGTAAAAAATAAGAACTTTTTGCTAAATATTATAATCATTATCAGCACGATTGTCTGTGTTTGAAGAAAGTCAGTGATCTCTTGTTTAGCATCTCATCATCCAAACACAAGCAAATGCAAGTGACTATCAATTATATGATTATATAACAAAAACCTCCTCTTGCAAGTTCAAGACATTTCTGCCAACATGAGCAATGTTTATTTAAAAATATTTCTTAAATAAATTCATTAATTGTGAAAGGAAATTCTGTTCAAAATGTCAAAGTGATATCACTGAAATGTAGGGGCAGTTAAAGCATCCGCTCATCACCCGGGTTTGAATCCCCACATGGGTACAATGTGTGAAGCCCATTTCTGGTGTCCCCAGAAGTGATATTGATGGAATATTGCTAAAAGCAGCTTCAAACCATTCTCACTGAAATGTTAATGTTTGAAGTCATATTCCACACTGTGCTCACCTGGAGGAACTTGTTGACCTGCTCTGTCAGGAGCTGCAGACAGACCACTTGATCCTGGCCCACGTATATCGGCAGGATCCCCGTCTCTGCAGCGAAGATGATCTGCGGGATGGATGGGGTCCCACTGTGCTCTGCCCAGACTAGAGACAGATCCAGGTTGACTGATGCGGGACCTAGAAGTGCACGTGTCTTCTTGTCCAGGACTGTCTTCATGAGGAGGTCCTTGAGGAACAACTCACAGCCGAGAGAGTCTGACACACCTGGGGTGGAATGGTATGCTTGTGTATGTTCTCAACAAAACCCAAAAGGTTATCAAACTTGGAAGACAGGTAGATGCTTTTGATGGTCCAAATTTTAAAAACACAAACAGATGGGCAATGAGCAGTATTAGTTATCGGTACAAAAGCAATTTTGTATAATTAATTAATGGCAAGACAAACATTCCCATCTCCAACTCACCATGTTTGGCCTGTTGGAACTCGGTGATGACTCGGAGTGAGGAGGAGGATACCATGAATCCTGGAGAATGATCTTCAGGAACCGTCTCTAAGGCAACCACTATTTGATCTGTCATAAACTCCAAGTGATCCAGACTGGAGAATATACCTGAATTATTCAACAATGTTGTTAGTCATTGGTATCACTGGCAAGTTGAAGTACAATCTGAACATAACAAATGAAATATCTGAGTACGGTGAGGTACTGCAACATTTTCTACAGTGATGACACACGCAATATGTGTCCATACTGTTTTCATTAAAACTTCAGTAAGTAATTTTATTACATCTACCTGGACTCGACTGTGATGATGTCTCCTCCATCACCACGTCTGCAGTTGACGACTCCCTGTTCTGACTGGCTGTAGATGAAGATGTGGTTATCTCCCCTACAAAGTCCAGGATTTGCTCTACCTTATTCAGACTCAGGTTGACTTTGATAGGACGCTCTAGCTTCAAGGTTACACATGCTGTAAGAAAAAGCAAAAAAATGAGTAAACCTTTGGAGAGGCAAAATCAGCATTATCATGTAACTGTTTCAGATTTCAGAACATTTAATAAACAAATTGTAAACAGTATTTTCCCTGTAAAATTGATCATGTACCTGGTTGCTGCAGGAAGTTGGTGATCTGCAGGGTGTAGAGACTAGGGGGGATACCTGTCTTGGGGTGTGGTTGTCCCGCCCTTGTCTCAATCCAGTAACTGCTGAAGTCAGAACAGTCAGGCAGCAGACGGTGGTCTTCAACTGTCACAACACACGAGAGTCACGTTACTCATCATATTAGACATCACACACTAATGTAGCTTTGAGGATTCACAATGCTTTCATACAGGAAATGCAAAGGACATGTGTCTGTATCCTTATTCTGTATCCTGCACATGCAAGGATATACATTTGTATCATACAATTGTCAGTAAGGTTAGTGTTGTCAAGGCAAAATACAAATTCAATAAACTTGGTAAAATAATCCAATAAATGTGCAATGTAGTCTTCTAGCTTTCTATCTTCTTCTATATTCTACTTTAAGTAAGGACTATACATTGATCCATTGCGTTATTTATCAAAACCAAAATTGCATACAGTTCCCGAAAAGTTCAGATAGAGATCTATGTATGTCTGTGTGCTTATGTTAATCAACATGGCTTCAAATGATCTGGCATTCTAAATGGGGTCTTCATTCATGTCATTGTATTTCACACAATTTTAAAAGTAGCATTAATAAATGAAAATGTGTCTTGAACGCTCTTGAATGATAATTTCACGACTGTTAAGATAGATGAGTATCATCAGCTCTGTGTTTCTGTATTGTACACATGATGCATATGAGTAAGAGTTGTGTATTATATTCACCAGACACATGCAAATATTCTCTATATCTGTGAATTTCTGGACTTTACATTTCCAGTCATTTCCTTTAAAATCAGATCTACTCCAATATGGTATTTTTCAGTGACAAATTCTCAATCAGAGTTTCCATACGAATAACTCAATAAACTTGCACTATCCAAATAAAATAAATGATGTGTGGGTTCTTATGCCAGTATGAAGCCCATTTCTGGTGTTCCCTGCCGTGATGTTGCTGGAATATTGTTAAAAGCGGCGTAAAACCAAACTCAGTCAGTTATGCCAGTAATGTTTCAGTTTTCTAAAACAATTAATGCCAGCGATTTAGAAGTCTTGATTTGCTGTGCAGAACTTTCATCTGGCTTGATTTCCTACAGAGGATCTAACAGATTATCACTCAGAGAGGTATTGTGTCTGAGAACAAGATCTGATTTCACACAAATTGTAACCATATATTGCACTCCACCTACCTGGAATGATTGATTGGCTGGATGGTCCCTTCACGATGATGTCATAACAGGACATCTCAAACCTCTGACTGGATGTCTGACATGAGAGGATCGTGTGAGGTTGAGCGAAGTACAGGTAGAGGAATGGTTTCATGCAGACAGTTCCAGGTGGCACCACTTTCTTGGCCAGATCACTATCATTGCTAATGTGCATAAACTCAAAGTCTGAGCATGTGTCGTACTGCTGCAGATACGACTCATCACTATCTGGTGACGGGATGTTGCTTGTTAAGTGTTCCAGGTTATCCCCTTTCAGTGTTGACGCAGACTTTGACTTGTGAACAACCTTTTTATGTTTTTCATCTTTATTTGCTGCATGCAGACTGTCTTCTCTCAAAGTATTATGGGTATACACGGTACATGAAATTCGCCCAGCTGTCAGAAGAATGTGGAACGGCATGACCTTTGACCCAAGACCAAGGTCAACTGGGGTCACGACCTTTGAGGACGATGCTGATTTGACCTGTCTTGGTTTATCAGCTGTCACAGTTGAGATGTCACTTTCAACACCACTATCAATCCCATGGTGCTCTTGGGCACGTCCTGATGACCTTGACCTCCCACTACCACTGGATTTTGCTGATGTGATTTTTTCTGATTTGCCAGAGAGGTGTGTCATACTCTTTCTTGCAAACTCTGACATAAAGTGTATTTGGTTGGTACTGAGATAAAGGTCAAGGTCACTGGTGACATTCATCTCAGCAGCATACCCACACACAAGGACATACTGAAAGAGAAAACAACAAAACAGGAAATAAATAACATGGTTCTGTAATTAATAAACATGTTAGCAATGTTAAGATTTTCTCATAAGATAAGAAATAAGAATCAAACAGATCTTCAGTGTTTCCGTTCTCTGGTATATACCTGAAAATCGCCGGAAAAATTCGTTAGGGACCGGTAAATTGAAAGCCAGCTGGACACTGTGTCCGGTAAATAATCATGTATTAAAATAAAAAAATCATGGGTAAGCGAAATGACAGTCTTGGCTGTGCTTTCATGGTCGCAAAAATTGTTATGTTTTGGAAATACCCAGGCTAAAAATAACTTTAAAATGAGTACTTACAGTATGGTAATAGGATATGACCGGCAAATTTCATTCATGACCGGTAACATTTTAGGTCGCCAGACACAGTGTCCGATAAATAATTAAATCAGCGGAAACACTGTGATCTTTCTCATAAGATCATGATGATTCTACTGAAAATTATTCATCCCTGTTAATCAAATAACAGTGGTACTTGGTAAGCCAAAATCGATTAAAAATCTCGCATATCGTTATAAAAAATAATGCCATTTACCTTTTTCATGTTTTCCGCAGGCTCTCTCCTGCCATAGACAATGGCTGGTGCCATGACGAGACACAAGTCAAAGCCTGAAGCCATGGGAATCAGACGGATCTCTTCCTTTCTTCTCTGAAATAACAGTGAAAGATACACAACTGAAATATGAGAATTATCGGAAAATTACACAACAACATAATGACAAATCATTCATATTTCAGGAGTTTGTATACCCTATGTTCCTCCATTACTCATGAATACGATTTGCAGCATAGCTACTATTGTTAACCAACAAACAACAAACACTGGGATTCCACAACAAACATGTTCCATCCACTCTCCTTCAATATTCGGCAAGGGTCATGGTTCTTGCACAAAGTAGGACTCATTTGACTTCCATGAGTGTAAAATATTGTTCATTACCAGGCTATAAATGTACTCCTTCAAGGGGTTGAATGTAGTCATGAATGATGGAAGAGCAAACAACATGGAATAATGCTGACAATGCAGTGACATTCATTTACTAGCTACTACTACTGGTCAAAGATTGGTCGCAGTGACTAAACGACTAAGCAATCGAAAATGTTTTCTCATAATCGAACACAAACAACTTTGGAACACTTGTTTGCATTAACAATATTTTTTCACAAGGTTGGTTTGTCTGTGTCATTAAATTTACATTTCATAAGCACTACAAGCTTGTTCCAAGTCATGATTGAATATATCTTAAAGACTACAGGAAATTTATGTTCCTAACATACTAGTCATCCTTTAAATATGAGAAATATGAAAATGCATTTTGTGCAATTTGCAAAAAACCCAAAGAACTACATGTTTTTTCGCTATTTATTTTGTGCATTAACAAAGATAACAGGAACCTTTAATAAATGATGCTAACCAATTATTTTTGATGATTGATCGGTTGTAATGGACCAATCATCAATTATGAGATTTTAACCAATTCCCAACACTAGCTACTACTCTAACTCACTGCTGCAGCGCCAGGAACGTGTTCCACTCCAGGGCAGGTATCTGTACTCCGGGACTGATTGGAGGCTTGTATTTCTCAACGCGTCTCGACTCTCGGACAAGGTCGCCCCAGCATCCTGGAAACAGCCAAATTTACACTACATCAAGGAAGTCCTTGGTCTTACAAGTTGTGTACACTTTCTGGCTTTCAGAAGGGATATTTTTATCTTTCCATGACACACAAAAATGATTCTTTCAATTCAAGTGTATGCATGAACAGAATGTTGGGTTATCCCTATCAATATTTGAGGAATATCTATCGGTGAACACAACACATATTGAAGATAACACGGCATATTACCAAAGTGAATGAGCAGGTTGATCAAACGTTGTTTTTGTCCGAACCAGAACAACTCTTGTCATAACATGTTAATGATAACATCAAATTATTTTGAACAAGAAGACAATAACAAAGTCATCAGTATTCCCTCACCTTCAAGTATGTTATGTATCTAATTATCAGTGATTATACCACAACAGGTTAATCCTACAGCTTGTGAGCATAAAGAACAATACTGAAGGGATGATATGTTATGCTCCAAAGACAAACACTACCTGCATCTGACCCTAAATCAAGCATGTGCATGTTTATGGAAAAATATACTGTCATTAGTTATAGTGAGTGAGTTGCGTTTTACGCCACTTCCAGCAATATTCCAGCAATATCACAGAGGGGGACACCAGAAACAGGCTTCACATATTGTACCTATGTGGGGAATCGAACCCAGGCTTTCAGTGTGATGAGCGAACGCTTTAACAACTGGGCTACCCCAGGGCCCATATTATTTATAACCTGAATAGCAAAATGCACCAATTCAGTGCATGTATTATATGTAAAGAAGCAGATATACTTAAAATGGGATGCCCTCAGATGTTCGTTCAGCTGTAGCAAGAACTAAGATCAGATTTTAATGCAGTTGCAAGTTCACATGTGTATTCTAGACCTGTGCATTGAATGAGTGAGTGAGTGTGTATGCCGCACTCAGCAATATTCCAGCTATATGGTGGCGGTCTGTAAATAATCGAGTCTGGACCAGACAATCCAGTGATCAACAGCATGGGCATCGATCTGCGCAACTAGGAACCGATGACATGAGTCAACCAAGTCAGCGAGCCTGACCACCCGATCCCGTTAGTCACCTCTTGCGACAAGCATAGTCACCTTTTGTGGCAAGCATGGGTTGCTGAAGACCTATTCTACCCCAGATCTTCACGGGTAGCATTGAATGAGCATGCAATACCTGTGCACAGAGAGAATCCCTTTAAATCTGCCTGGTACTGTCTGTCCTCCACAGCACTCCCAGGGTACTGTGCAATGCCAGTGTGGCGAGCTCGATGATACAAGTCCTTCTCCACTGGTTCCCGGGGAAGTGGGTTGTCTGCCCTTGGTTGCACCGTGATGGAATGTAGTTGAGCAACAATCATATCATGGTCAAGAGTAGTTTTGAAATGCTTGAATTTTTCTGAATCATCTCCAGATTTACTTTTGGCTGTGTCATCATTCCATTTGTCACTTCCTTTCTGATCCCTTCCCATTTCAAGATGGCTTCCATCGGGGTCAGGCAGGATGACCCTGACACTGCCAATATTTGCATAAATCAAAGGGAGGCAACCAGCTGAGAAAAAGGGTGGAGACTGATTCTTCTTGTGGTGGCTGTGAGTATATACCAGCCTCTGGCTTGCTGATTTCGTCAGTGCAATATCTGGACTTGGGTTTCCAAAATCAAATATGTCAACCAAAGTGTCAAAAACTGGTAGATACAACACAATATCACATGGATCCGTCTTCAAACAAACTTCTGATATATATTCATGAAAATATAGCTCATCAAATGAGGATTCGGTTTCATTTTCTGTCAAATCCGACAGTTCAATGTTTGTCTTCTTCATCTTCTTGGAAACATTCTTACACAAAGCTCTGGTGAACGTGAACGTGAGGAAGCCACTGGTCTGCTCCCTCTGCATGCCTTCAGACGACGGGAACAGTGGGACAACAGGCTGGCTGTCAGACGTCCACAGCTTGTTACTGACAATCAGGGTATCACGGGGAAGCTCACCCCGACAGGACATCAGAATGCCTTCACATGCACCCTTCTCCCATGGCCTATCTTGTCTGTAACATCAATAATCAAGAATAAAAGATCATATTAAATTATATTCATCAGTTATATATAGCATATAGATGTTAAGCATCCTTTGCAAAATGGATTAGTATAAAAGTTTTATGTTTCAGGACAATCATCTGTGATGATGTTGCTGGAATATTGCTAAAAGAGCAAGTTGCAAAATCTTAGTATAAAAGTTTTCCATGAACAGGATCCCAGTTCTATCATGGTGAGGCATCTCAATGTGGGTGGAAGCCCATAAGTGATGCAGGTGTCAGACGTATACCACTTTGGTGAACACATGACTATGGATATGGTACGAACAAACCCAGAATCATAACTGGCATAAAACTGGAGTCGAAACCACAATCATAGGTTTCTGGCCTACCCAAGAGTTGAAAATATGTGAAGTGGTGGAATAAGTGAGTGAGTTTAGTTTTATGCCGCTTTTAGCAATATCACAGCAATATTATAGCAGGGGACACCAGAAATGGGTTTAACACATGGTACACATTAAAGGGGATTGAACCCAGGTCCTCCATGTGACAAGCGAACACCTTAACCCCACCGACCATGAAGTGATGGACCTTAGATGACTGGACCACCAGTGTCCCCGTATTTGTGATCAAGCAATACATGCCACACAGAGCACTAGATTGTAGCTCGCCTGAATTTTTGGACATGTGAAACCATTCACATGTAATATGCCAATGTAGTACTACTCTCTTAACATGTCTGATCTGGTTGCATAAGGTTAATACAGTCAAGATTAACATTTTTCTTGTTTCATATCTACTCTGGCTCTGACATACCTTTTCTGTAGATGATTTATGTTGAATGACCCCATTGTAGCCTTGACCTTGGAATATACCTGCTGGATGTCGATGGAGGTCGCAACATCTTCAGCCACAACTGTCAGACAGGTCTCTGTCAAAACACCCCTGGCATTTATATAGATTTCAGGAAAAAACAATGCAACTCTTACTAGTTCTACATAGAAAAGAAACTGCCTGTTGCCTATATGTATTACTCCTAGTGTTAACATCAGTGATTTCCAAGTCAGACAGGATGATCAAATAGAGCCTGAAGCTTATGAGTGCAATACCTGGATCACAGTTCTATATCGAAAAACATTTCAGGCATTTTAACAAACTTTAGGAAAACAATTTGGTTATCAAGCAGAAACAGTTGTTGAAAATACTTTCTTTCATTTGAATAACAAGATAGTATTGTGACTTAATAGTAGAAAGCTTTAACTGATTGTTGATATTAATCCATAAACTTTAAAGCTGAAGAATAATGATAATTTTATGGATATATTCTGTGAAAAGCGATGTTTCGACAATGATTCTAATGTCGTTATCAAACTTTAAAGCTGCAAATAAGAAAAGGAGCATATCAGCTACATTTCAGTCTTAACTCCCAATTTTTTCACAGAACATTATGACAACAAGAAGACAAAGTCATCAATATCCCCGCCAATGGCAAAATACTCTTCATGAATATATCTACGAAAGTACTGATTATGTCAAATGTTTTTGGCGTGTATATAGCTACTGGTAAGTGGAAGGAGAGTACTGAAAGGTTTCAAAGTTCTGCTCCAGAAAGGAGCACTACCACCAAATTCAGTTGAAGCCAAAATTGTTGCCATGGAAACGCAAAAAAAAGTTTTTATTCAGAAATCCAAAACTAGCAAATGGCACCAGTTCACCACTAGACCTACCTATGTATGAAATTTGGTGATGAAACAGTGAACAGTTTTAAGTTCTGCTACAGAAAAGAGCACTACCACCAATTTCAGTCAAAGTGAAACTTGTTGCCATGGAAATGCCAAAAATCTTTATTCAGAAATCCAAAACTACCAAAAGGCACCAGTAGACCACCAGATCTATCTATGTGCCAAGTTTGGTGAAGAAATGTTGAACGGTTTTAATGTTATGGTCCGGAAAAAGACAAATGTGCACGGACGGATTGGACAGGACGGAAGGACGGAGTCCATTTTAATAACACACACACACACACACACGCGACACAACACATTGCATGGGGATAACAATGTGACAAACAACAGAACATTCACTTTACCTGATGCTGACAATTTCTCCTTTCCATAAAGCTTCACGTCAAATCTGGGCACCAGGAGCTGGGTCCACAGTGATAACTTCACACCTGGCTTGCTACTCAAGTCCTCTCCCACAACCTCACGCACTGGGCTGCTCTCATCTCGTGAGATGTCTTCTGATTGGTCAGTTATCACAACATCATTGTCACATGACAATGTACTGGCCACCTTCTTGTCAGGAGAGCTGGAGATTGGTTGAGCAATGGGTACATCTTTCTGGGGCTGGAGCATCTTCCACAGGTTGAAGCAGAGTGATGTCCCTTTCCTGACCAGCATCAGTGCCTTCTGTATCACCACCATACACAGCTGTGTCTGTAACAAAAGTAAAGATGCATATATCAGATCAGTTAACAATACACATAAGCTGTGTAAATATATTAAACAAGGGAACATGACAGGTTTGTAAAAGAAAAGGACCTTAAATAAGTCAGAAATAATATGTTTTATTATTTTAGCAATAATTAACAAATACTTAGGACAGAGGAGGCTATTGCTTCTTTTTTTTCAAGACACATATTTGGAAAGTGATTTTGTTCTCTTACTGTACCGGGTCCAGTATCTACAGTTTTGCAAAGACATGCATGACAACAATTCTACAATGGTTCCATAAATCATACAAATTAGTATTGCAATTAACAAACATATCACTCTATATCATTCATTAATTCCTAGTAGAGGCAAATACTAAAATACAGCAAAGGTTGAAAAAGTAAATTTCTGAAAAGGAAATAAACATCTTCACGGAAGTCATTTGATTAAGACAAGACAATAGATTTGTTCTTATTAAATATCTAAACATGATGTGGAATTACCTGTATATTGGAGACAGCAATTGTTGGGGGCTGCATGTCAATATGGAGACAGAGACCAAGGGCTGTAATGTTGTCTGATGTTGGAGGTGTATACTTGCATGTCACTGCCACAGTCGATGCTACATTGAGAGGCTTGAAGAGAGACAGCGTTGTCTTCTCCTTGTGAAGGGAATACACTGTTAGTTTCTCCAGCTTCACAGACCATGGCAACTTGTCTCCTGCAAGACACACAGAACATCAAATAAATCTTATACATATTGCAATACATCCTGTTCAAATATTCTGGCAGGGGACACCAGAATTGGGCTTCACACATTGTACCCATGTGAGGAATCAAACCCGGGTCTTCGGCATGACAAGCAAACGATTTAACCACTAGGCTAACCCACCACATCGTGACAGTGGGTTAGTCCACTGGTTAAAGCAATTGCTTGTCACACCGAAGACCTGGGTTTGATTCCCAAAATAAACAATGTGTGAAGCCCATTTGTTGAAAAATTGCTAAAACTGTACTAATCACTCATTCTTACAACCATCAAACAATATATAGTGTTATATAACAATATATATATATATATAGCACAGCCTCAAACAATATATATAGTGTTATATACAACAGATATATATATATAAGACAGAGACTGAAACAATATATAGTGTTATATAACAACAGATATGTATATATGTGGCACAGCATCAAACAACATATAGTGTTATATAACAGATAGATATATATGACACAGACTGAATCAATATATAGTGTTATATAACAATAGATATATATATGGCACAGCATCAAACAACATATAGTGTTATATAACAGAGATTATATATGGCACAGCATCAAACAATATATAGTGTTATACAACAGATATATATATATGACACAGACTGAAACAATATATAGTGTTATATAACAATATATATATATATGGCACAGCATCAAACAATATATAGTGTTATATAACAATATATATTTATATGGCACAGCATCAAACAATATATAGTGTTATATAACAACAGATATATATATATGACACAGACTGAAACAATATATAGTGTTATATAACAATAGATATATATGACACAGACTGAAACAATATATAGTGTTATATAACAATAGATATATATATGACACAGCATCAAACAATGTATAGTGTTATATAACAACAGATATATATATATAGCACAGCATCAAACAATATATATTGTTATATAACAACAGATATATATATATATGACAGACTGAAACAATATATAGTGTTATATAACAACAGATATATATAGATAGATATATATATGACACAGACTGAAACAATATATAGTGTTATATAACAATATATATATATATATATATATATATATGACACAGACTGAAACAATATATAGTGTTATATAACAATAGATATATATATGTGGCACAGCATCAAACAACATATAGTGTTATATAACAGATATATATATGTGGCACAGCATCAAACAATATATAGTGTTATATAACAATATATATATATATATATATATATATATGGCACAGCATCAAACAATATATAGTGTTTTATACAACAGATATATATATATATATATATATGACACAGACTGAAACAATATATAGTGTTATATAACAATAGATAGATATATATATGGCATAGCATCAAACAATATATAGTGTTATATAACAACAGATATATATATATATATATGACACAGACTGAAACAATATATAGTGTTATATAACAGATAGACAGATAGATATATATGACACAGACTGAAACAATATATAGTGTTATATAACAATAGATATATATATGTGGCAAAGCATCAAACAACATATAGTGTTATATAACAATAGATATATATATGTGGCACAGCATCAAACAATATAGTGTTATATAACAATATATATATATATGGCACAGCATCAAACAATATATAGTGTTATATACAACAGATATATATATATATGACACAGACTGAAACAATATATAGTGTTATATAACAATAGATAGATATATATATGGCATAGTATCAAACAATATATAGTGTTATATAACAACAGATATATATATATATATATGACACAGACTGAAACAATATATAGTGTTATATAACAACAGATATATATATATATATGACACAGACTGAAACAATATATAGTGTTATATAACAATAGATATATATATGTGGCACAGCATCAAACAACATATAGTGTTATATAACAATAGATATATATATGGCACAGCATCAAACAATATATAGTGTTATATAACAATAGATAGATAGATATATATAGCACAGCACCACCCACCTATGAGTGAGCCATCCAGTGTAGTGATGGGGATGTCCTGCACGACAGACATAGGCTTGGCACCGGAGCTGTTGATAACCATGGAGGGGAGACACACGACCAGAGTGCTGGGGACGCTGCCATCTTGGAATGCAGAGTGAAAGTTGACTGGAATGTCCATGCTTGGCTCCAACATCGCCATGGAAACATCAGGGAGAAATATACAGCTGCTTCTAATCTCAACCTGTAAGAGTTACATAGAGAGAGTCAAAACACTCAGGATTTATCAAGTCCTGCTTGGATGTTGATATTCAGCCCGTAGTCTTCCACAAATGTGAGTTAAAAATCCAGAAATGCAATTAGAAGTTTCCCAATTCATGTATAATCCCTAACTACTGTTATGGCTTTCCAGAGATGACTAAGCATAATAACAGAACATTTGTAGAGTGCCTTTCCAGGCTAAATATCCTGCTCAAAGTGCATAACATAAGCGGGATCAATATAGGGAAGGGCTTTGATTTGCATTAACATACTAGTGTTTCCCCCAGCATCCAAAAACTGAAGGGCAACAGAATTTCAAAAAGGACACCACAATTCCAAACTGGGCATGTAATAAGAGATTTCCAAGCATTGAATTAAGAATCATATATGCATATATGCATAAGTGTTAATATCAATTTCTGTATTAAATAGAAGGTCAGGTCCACAAATAGAAAGGGCAGGTGGCCAAATAAAAAGGCAAGGCCAAATAAAAAGGGCAAAGTGCAGCACCCTGTTAAAACTGCCTAGGAAAACCCTACATACCTCTAAACAAGAAAGAATAAGAACTATAATAAATTTACACAGTTTATCCCAATCTGCCTGCCAAGGGTACTTAGTTTCAGGTTTTATCTAGAAGACTACCACCTAGGGCACATCAGGTTGTAAATACCTGACTAAACAAACTGCTTCCAGCAAACAAAGCTACCCTTCCTTGAAGTCATGTTATCATTTTACTAAAAGTAAACAAAACTTGCCTGAATGTGTAGCATCTTGATCAAGGGGAACAACTCCGCCATTTTCGCGGCGATGCCCTGGGGTCTTGGTGCCCCTCTCCCCCCAGCAGTAACCTCGGTCTGTCTCTCTGGGGGACAGAAGCTGGGAGGCTGTTTGTGTCTGGGACTGGGTGAAAGGTCGTGAACCTGTGGGGTTGGTCAGTGAGCTACTGGAATGTACTGAAACTGAGAGGAAGATTCAAGGTCTTCAGACAATTGTCAGATTAATTGTAGATCTTTTAGATCAGTATTAGTCCGCACCATCATTAGTTCTAATCTAGACCACTACCAGTACTAGTCTAGACCACTACCAGTACTTGTCTAGACCACTGCTAGTTCTAACCAACACCATCACCAGTATGAATCTAGACCACTACTAGTCTAGACCACTACCAGTACTAGTCTAGACCACTGCTAGTTCTAACCAACACTATCACCAGTATGAGTCTAGACCACTACCAGTACTGGTCTAGACCACTGCTAGTTCTAACCAACACCATCACCAGTATGAATCTAGACCACTACTAGTCTAGACCACTACAAGTACTAGTCTAGACCACTGCTAGTTCTAACCAACACTATCACCAGTATGAGTCTAGACCACTACCAGTACTGGTCTAGACCACTGCTAGTTCTAACCAACACCATCACCAGTATGAATCTAGACCACTACTAGTCTAGACCACTACTAGTCTAGACCACTACAAGTACTAGTCTAGACCACTACTAGTTCTAACCAACACCATCACCACTATGAATCTAGACCACTACCAGTACTAGTCTATACCACTGCTAGTTCTAACCAACACCATCACCAGTATGAATCTAGACCACTACCAGTACTAGTCTATACCACTACTAGTTCTAACCAACACCATCACCAGTATGAATTTAGACCACTACCAGTACTAGTCTAGACCACTGCTAGTTCTAACCAACACAATCACCACTATGAATCTAGATCACTACCACTACTAGTCTAGACCACTGCTAGTTCTAACCAACACCATCACCAGTATGAATCTAGACCACTACCAGTACTAGTCTAGACCACTGCTAGTTCTAACCAACACCATCACCACTATGAATCTAGACCACTACTAGTTCTAACCAACACCATCACCAGTATGAATCTAGACCACTACCAGTATTAGTCTAGACCACTGCTAGTTCTAACCAACACCATCACCACTATGAATCTAGACCACTACAAGTACTAGTCTAGACCACTGCTAGTTCTAACCAACACCATCACCACTATGAATCTAGACCACTACTAGTTCTAACCAACACAATCACCACTATGAATCTAGACCACTACCAGTACTAGTCTAGACCACTACTAGTTCTAACCAACACCATCACCAGTATGAATCTAGACCACTACCAGTACTAGTCTAGACCACTGCTAGTTCTAACCAACACCATCACCACTATGAATCTAGACCACTACTAGTTCTAACCAACACCATCACCAGTATGAATATAGACCACTACCAGTACTAGTCTAGACCACTGCTAGTTCTAACCAACACCATCACCAGTATGAATCTTGACCACTACTAGTTCTAACCAACACCATCACCAGTATGAATCTAGACCACTACCAGTACTAGTCTAGACCACTGCTAGTTCTAACCAACACCATCACCAGTATGAATCTAGACCACTACCAGTACTAGTCTATACCACTGCTAGTTCTAACCAACACCATCACCAGTATGAATCTAGACCACTACCAGTACTAGTCTATACCACTGCTAGTTCTAACCAACACCATCACCAGTATGAATCTAGACCACTACCAGTACTAGTCTATACCATCACCAGTATGATGGTACTAGACTAGACCACTACAAGTACGAGACAAGAACATCATTAGCATTAGACAAGAACCTTACTGGTTCATCAAACAGTGCCTATAATGATGGATTGACTGCAGCTGTTGAAAGATACACAGGTGAGGCGAGGTGAAATGTCATTTAATGTCGCACTTAAGAATATTTCGCTCATATGACAATGTGCATGCATGTGTATGTGCGGCTGCTTGTACTAGCCCAGACTGAAGCTGGTTTTATAGTGATAGCTCACTGAGATACCATGCCACAGGTAAGCATGAATACCCCACTCAGACACATTATACTGACTCCGAGCCGACCAGTCCTTGTTGTACCCAATAATGCCGAGCGCCAGGCAGGGACCAATGAAAGATACACCATTATGTCTGAGTACAAATATCATAATGACACATACTGTAATCCATCATTAGTTACAGAATGAGGACCCCTAATAATGGCTGAAGGTGATATCAAGACATTCCCTACACATACACACCTTGAGACAAACTGGCTTGTAGCGGAGAGGCCGCCTGGGCCAGAGCTAGGTCTACAGTGATGCTGTCTTCCCTGCGAGATGCCGCCAGGGAGTGGCGAGACCTGGGGGCGTACATCAGCCAGTCAAGAAGAGCAGGGTCCATGCACGCCACACAACCCTCCATGTTCAACAAAATCACAGCAGGAGCTGAAGAGAAAGAACATATTATATATCTGAACCATGAAACATAAGGATTTCAAATATAGTACAGAGAGAGAGGGAGTATGGTTACAAACATGTCACATTATATAATATGGACATATATTAGCGAGATGTTTGAATAACATTCCAACATACTGGTGTTAAACCATTGAAACATAGCATAAAGAAACTTAACATACTTCAAGTGTTTGTAACAGAAATACAATATTGTCCAACACTTCAATAGATAGGGTATTTGCAATTACAATATATGACCATAGATAAGCCAATTTTGAGGACAAAAACAGCAGTCTGTAGAAAGGGGTCGGCATATCTACAGGGGTCGGTACATATATTTATCATCCAAAACTGCGTTCCACAAGAGATATTGCTTGTGTGAGAGCAAACGATATCTCCTATGGAGATATCGTTTTGACGGTAGATTTTGTACAATGCCCTGATAATGCTATGACGTCATGAACTTGATGGCATCACAATGCTATGACATCGCTGCACTGCAAGTCTAAAGGAAGTACCGTGTTCAGAGATACTAATGAAGAGGGATTGTTGATCATAAATAGAATCTCATCCTCGTGTCTACTGATGATTCAGTTATTACAATTATATAAACACTCGGATATTTATAACTTTATCAACTCATGTTGATAAAACTGATATCAGTAGACACTTGAGTGAGATTCTCTCTCTATATATCGAGAGTACATAACAAAAACACAATACTGATAATCATACGCCAAGGGGGACAATGCACACCTTCAGACACATTCCTCTTTTTGGGCAGCTGTACTGTGAAGTTGAGGCAGTCCCCCAGCACATCCTTGTGACACGCTTCCTGAGTGAAGAAGGTCTTCACATGGAGACTCCCTGTGTCAGCTGGCCCTGTGAAGATGGGGGCAACTCTGTTGGACTTGCTTACTGGATCTAAAAATTGAACATGGAACTCATATATATCTAGGAAAAAATACATATATATCTAGGAAAAAATACAGTCCAGAATCATTATACAGTATATCCTTAACAAAACTTGTATCACATGCATTTATTATCAGTCATGGTATAATTTACTAAGAAAATACAATCCAAATATGACATATGTTACATTTGACCACTTTCTAAATGGCATTGTGTATTCGTAGTTTTCAGCTGGGGTAGCAGTGCCAATTTACACTTATCAGAGAGGTACACAAAGTCTGTGGTCTAGACTACCAGTTGTCCGACTTCCATTTTTGTGGAAGCTGCAGTGGCTGAGCGGGGTAGGCGGCTGACTTTGTGTGCTGGCGATTAGGTGTCTGACTCTGAGGGTGTGGGTTCAAATCCCGGATGGGACAACCCAACAAAAGTACTAGAATCTGTACTTCACTGAGAAAGTGTAATCCCAAATATAACACGTTACATTTGACCACTTTCTAAATGGCATTGTGTATTCATGGTATAATTCCTCTAAAATAGCGATGATGAATATTACAGCATCCTCAAATTCACTTTATATTCTTTCCCAATGTGCTTCTGTCATGTCTACCTACGTCCTTTGGTCTAGTTCCTCCTTAGATGCTCAACACACAGCTTCTGTCATGTCTACCTACGTCCTTTGGTCTAGTTCCTCCTTAGATGCTCAACACACAGCTTCTGTCATGTCTACCTACGTCCTTTGGTCTAGCTCCTCCTTAGATGCTCAACACACAGCTTCTGTCATGTCTACCTACGTCCTTTGGTCTAGTTCCTCCTTAGATGCTCAACACACAGCTTCTGTCATGTCTACCCTCGTCCTTTGGTCTAGTTCCTCCTTAGATGCTCAACACACAGCTTCTGTCATGTCTACCCACGCCCTTTGGTCTAGTTCCTCCTTAGATGCTCAACACACAGCTTCTGTCATGTCTACCTACGTCCTTTGGTCTAGTTCCTCCGTAGATGCTCAACACACAGCTTCTGTCATGTCTACCTACGTCCTTTGTTCTTGTTCCTCCGTAGATGCTCAACACACAGCTTCTGTCATGTCTACCTACGTCCTTTGGTCTAGTTCCTCCTTAGATGCTCAACACACAGCTTCTGTCATGTCTACCTACGTCCTTTGGTCTAGTTCCTCCTTAGATGCTCAACACACAGCTTCTGTCATGTCTACCTACGTCCTTTGGTCTAGTTCCTCCTTAGATGCTCAACACACAGCTTCTGTCATGTCTACCTACGTCCTTTGGTCTAGTTCCTCCGTAGATGCTCAACACACAGCTTCTGTCATGTCTACCTACGTCCTTTGTTCTTGTTCCTCCGTAGATGCTCAACACACAGCTTCAGAGGGAGCAATTCAAATATAACCGTATTTTAGCGTGAACATTATCTTGTAATACATTCAGTGAAGTAATTTTGTTTACCTTTCAAGTACAGCACGAACTGTGCGGATGTGACACTACCAGTGTAGGCGTCTACGATTGCCGTGGAACAACACTTCATCTCACATCCACTCACTACCATCTCCAAGACTGGCTGGGATGGGGTCCTTTCCTGGTCTGAACAAGCATTAGCATCTTCCAGATCATATTCCTCAGGTTTAGAACGACTTTAGCATTCTCCCATGTACAACATAGAACTAAACATGTATCTCCCCCAAATAACAACAGTAAACTCAGTCCTTATTTCTCTATTCAAAACAGCTAACAACAAAGTTACCTGAAGAATATATACATCTAAGTCCCAAAAACAGAGTTCTTAATATATTTTCTCAGATTAAACAATGAACAATTGATCCCCAGAATCTCAACAGAACAGTTAAATGTAGCAAGCTGCCTTATGATTACACTGCTGTCTGAGAGAGCTAATACATGAAGTGTTGTTTGGGACTGAACCTGTCCAAGATGTATAGAATTATAAGATAATTTTCATACAACTTTGTCTAAATACCCTCAACATTCTTATGTTACCTGGGCCTTGCTTGTATGGTACACCTGTCTCACAAATCAACTCAATCAATGTTTTTCAAACACTATTCGTGAAGATCCGTGTTAGAATTGGTCTTCAGAAACCCATGCTTGTCGTAAGAGGTGACTAATGGGATCGGGTGGTCAGGCTCGCTGACTTGGTTGACACATGTCATCGAATCCCCATTGTGTAGATCAAAGCTCATGATGTTGATCACTGGACTGTCTGGTCCAGACTCGATTACAATCAGCCTTGTTCTATATCTGTATTACCTGACTCTGGAAACATGTCATTGAGGAGACTGTCTTCTGTAAACTGTCCAGGCTGTGGATCTTTCTGCAACCATGATGATGTGATCTTGACCATCAGCAGCATGCTGGCTTTGGTGAGGTTGATGGAGAGCTGTGGCATCTCGCACATCCACTCCGTCAACGGCAGATAGGTGTTGGTCCTACAGAATCATCCAGGTAAATCCTACATCATGTTCAGTGCAAACACCAACCACAATCCTCTAACTATATGGTATGTTCTATCATAACCAGGAACTAAATACCTCTAGACTGTCACATTTGGGGTTCACATTGCTAACATATTGTCCTATGTCCTGTTTTCGGAAACTACAAAAAAGTTGTTATAGAAGTATCTTTGTGTTATCAGCATCTATCAAAAAATGTCCTGCACTGTGAAAATTACTGTTTATTTAATCTCTGCATCTGTCAAAGTGGTTTTCAGGCAATGATTTTGATGTGTAGAGACCCTTTCATTTTTAATGTCCAAAATTGAAAATTTTACTACAAATTGTATATTTATATACTTATCCTATCTCACGGTATGCACCTCTCTTCTTCTTCTATGACCATGTGTGGAAACGTGCTGTAGGCTAAGTTGAATCAAATCTTACTGGCCTCTGTCCACCCCCAACCCCCCAACCTCTGCCCCCACTCCGATATCAGCACCTGTCAATCATCTCCATAAGCGTGCAGCTCGCTCAGATGATCACATGACTACCTGTGCCTGTCATTCTCGTCTTGGAGCTTCCAGTAATCTGTGATGTGGGGCAGGTCGGGTGGGTATCCATCGCGTGAGATAGGATAAGTATATAAATATACAATTTATTGTAAAATTTTCAAATTTTTATACTTATCCAATCTCACGGTATGCATAATCCCACGGTTGGTAGGAGGGCGGCAGATTACCCTGTCAATACTTACAACTGCGAAGACGCATAACCCAAGGAGGCCAGGAGAAAGCACCAACTCCCGATATGCAAACTCCAAACTTGTGATGGGTTTCTTCAGGTAACCCCTTGGCTTACACAGCACAAAAACTCTAGGGAGTGGGCGCTCCCGAATTAATGTGGTTTTCAGCCGCAACTTTTGACAAGCAAAGGACGAAGTTTAGCAAGTAGCCCCCAAATTATCAGGAGACCCCAGTGAATTAAAGTCGAAGACCTTAATCTGGACAGTCCCTGCTTCGAAACTATCCCCCACAGACACACGCTGGAAGGCGGTGAAAGAAGGAATAGCTCGGTTGCTCAACTAGTTTAACGTTCAGTACCAATCTCCCTAACTTACCAAAGGTGAGAATGGACTTATGAGCGGAACGCTTCGAAAACCATGTAGGTAATCGGAAATCAACACTTCACTGACGTAATTGCTCAAAGAGTAGAGGTCAGTAAGCGGAATGTTGACCATCTCTGCATGTAGCACAAGTCTTGCCTCACAGTCTATCCAGTCATATTTTAGACATTGAAAACACGCTCTAGTCCCCTAGGTGAGAATGATCTAAGCCCAAATGAAAAAAGTACCCAGACATGGATTACATCGATATCTTTTATTATGTACAGAGCAAAACCGACCAAAGAAGGATTGCTTTATCTGCGAACGCGGGCCGATGACAATTGCTGCGCCAGGACCTGGGGGCCGAATTGATGGAGACCTTCCACGTCTGTAACCGATAGGTCCCTCAGGTAGTATGAGGCGAACACAGTATCTGATTTCCAAAAACATCCCTCCATGATGGACTGGAGGGAACAATTCCTGTGAAGCGCCATGGTGGAAGCGAGAGCCCGAGTCTCATGAGGCTTCGCCGTCGATGGTGGAGGTAGCTCAGCAAAGGCATAAGCATGCAGGATCGTAGTTCTCATCCAAAACGCCAAGGTAGTGCGTGAGACTTCCAAGGCGGAGGCAGTGAAGCTGGTCGTGAAGCAGTGAATGCCCGACGCTGACGACTGGAATGTCCTCTGCCAGAACCCTTTCCACGAAAGGAAGCAGCAGAACCCGAACGAACTTCCAGATTAGAAGGAACATAAGGGGGTGGCCGTCGCTGGTGCAACGAGTCCTCCACCTGCAAACGTTGGAATTTCAACAATTCCACTGACACTTGTAAATGAACATCTTGACCAACTCTGGAGGCGACATCTCTAATCGCCCCGTTGAAAAGTGACCTGCCAGACCACGGCTGACGAAAAAGATCAGTTCGGAACCTATCCTCCCATGAGGATAAGTGCAGAGGCCCCGTGCAACGCATAGCTGTGACATACGAAAAGAAGTGAGCCAAATGATCCAAAATGGTCTGAAATTGTTCTTGTAATACCACCATCGCCGCCCGAATATACGCCTGTTGAGAATGTGGAACTGACATAGCCACCGCCTCAGTTGTCGTCAACACCATGTCGAGTGGTGCCATAATCCTCCTTATGACACTATCCAAATGCAAGAGCTCACGATCCTCAACCAGGAATGGCGCGTAGGCATTCTGTTTGGTTCCCAACAACGTAATATCATCATCCACCGGAGGGGAGACGTTCAGCGTAGAGAAACCTGCGAGGCAGCTAGATAAATCCGTAATGCTCGAACTGGGCATAAGGAAAGATCTTCTATGTCATCTGGGCCCAAGATAGTGGACAACGGCGGAATCGTGAACGTGTGATCCGGCTGTCCTGGTAACTGATTCTTAGCGAGAAAATCCCACCGCAAACCAAGGAAAACTCTAGCATGTCTAGACCTCTCAAATCATACCCGAGAGACATCGAGAGCGTGCAACTCGGAAATACGGGCAGCAGTGGCCAAGGCCAGGAGAAAGAAGGTCTTAAAGGAGACATGTTTGAAATCTTTCTCCTCCAGAGGTTCATAATCAGCTGACAAGAGATGAGCAAGCACAATGGAAAGATCCCAAGCTGGAGGCGGGAACTTCCGGGATTGGTCAGCAAGTTTATAAGACCTGAGGAGAGGCTGGAGCTCAGGGACAGTGGACACCTTCACACCCGAGGCCGACGGGTAAGTAGATAGCGTAGAACCTTTGAGTTTTCTGGAGGTTCGAAGATGCTGAAGGTACTCTGCTACCATCTGCAGGGATGCCGTAGTGGGAGTGTTATGCCCTTCTTCCTGCAATACGCTTCAAAATTCTTCCACTTGTCATCGTAGAATGACCTAGTGGAGGTGCGATGTGCTGTAGTGATGGCAGTAGCAACACGCTTCAAATATCCCTTGGCCGTTAGCAACTGATGTAAATACGCCAAGTGTGAAGATGGAGCATGAGCGGGGACCAATGTAGCTGTATCTTGCAGAAACGATCCCTCGGGACAAACAGTCTGTTGACCTCTGTGTCGAACACTGCTCCAATGAATTGAAGACGACGCGTAGGGACTAGTTCTGATTTCTGCAGATTGAATAGCCAGCCTAATTGGTGAAAAAGCTGTATACCATATGCTCGGAATATTGCTGGAGTGTTGGCCATAAAACTCACTCACTCTCAGAATTAGATGTTTTTCAGAAGTAATGGAGCACTATGGACCTACAGGTGAGAGTGAAATTGGGTTTAGCGTTGTGCTTGAGAACATTTTCACTCTCATATGACGCATGTGCATGCATGTGCATGTGTATATACAGAAAGCTGGTACTAGCCACAGACTAGCTGTATTTATAGTGCACAGCCCACTGAGATACCATGCAGCAGTGGAAGCATTAGATACACCCCACTCAGACACACATTATACTGACTCGAGTCCCGACCAGTCCTTGTTATACCCATTAATGCGGCGCAAGGCAGGGACCACCAAGTACCATATTTTAGCATCTTTTGGTGCATGACGCGGCTCGGGGGAATCCTGCCACCAGCGACTTTCGCTCTCACAGTGGACAAGTACTCTACCACTACACTGTCGGAAAGCGCCTATGGACCTACAGCCGCTGCGCGGCCTCTGTTCCAGGGGCCAATTCTGGCCCAAAATTCAGTACTTTCCTATCCTAACATAAACTTAAACTGTCACATAATAATAGATATCTTTAGAAGGGGCGGTAGAAATAGTGGTATATATACTGCTATTTGTCACGGGCAAGACACGGTTCGAATTTCATATGGGCACAAGTCGTAAAGGTTTATTTCTGGTGTCCCGCCCCCGGATATTATTGCTGAATAATATTGCTAAAAGCGCGCGAAATTAAACTCAGTCAGTCAGTCTTTAGAGTTCTGTGCTCAAGCGATAAATAGTACTTTGTTACAGGATTTGGACTGATGTATAGGGCTGATATTGAGGATCCCAGGCACAGTACAGTAGGACTTCTCCACGCGGTGGTACAAGGTTGGGTCGAGCTATTCAGGTGACATGGACCAATCAGAATCTTTTCAGCGATGAATGTCACCGTGGAAGAACAGAGCCCTCATAATGCATCCTCTGTCTGAGATGATTCTTATTTCCCTGCTGCTTTGAACAAAACATCAGACCTAGATATTTAGTCAAAGAAGATGGAGTGTAACACAGATTATGAACTTTGTATCTTACAAGACAGACGTAGTTATGTTTAGAGTAAAGTTATTATTTTCTACTTATCCTGACCCTTTATTTGCTCCTCTCTGCATGAACCGAGATATGATGGACACATTCTGTTATGTTCAATGAGAAAATGGAAACTATCTGACTTTCAGAACACATCCTCCCCAGCCTTGCTCAGAAACCGTCTTCTAAATAAGTTCTATGCAGACCAATTCAACTTGACAGTGTATCAATGAGTCTATTGCACGAGGAGAAAGAACCAAATAGTATGAGTCAGGATAAGGAAAACTTTGTATTTTTATGAAAAGATAGGATCTATATATTTCCTGCAGGTAATATTTTCGCGGAGAAATGTAAACATTCAATTCCAGCACTGCTATGCGTAAGCAACAAACCCTGTCGGTGTCCAGAATTAAGGAAGGTCAAGATTCTTTCCTGGTTAGCAATCAAGAAAGTATTTCTTTATTAAGCTTATCTTCCACATATGTGTGGTATAATGGCCGTCCAACAACAGATTTCATCATTATATCTATCCAGAAGTTCTACATATTCTTGTCCTCCACTGCTGTAACCACAGGGCAAACTATATAAAAATGACAGGCCAACTTATAGTGCTTGGGCTCCATGTCTGTCATGAAGTACAGATAGTCAAACCCAGAATGCTCCATACTTCTGCAGACCAAACTGCTCCGTGTATAAGCTCCATGTGTTTCTCTCCATCGCTGACAAACTCATAGCCCTGACCCTGGTTCTCGGCTGACTTGGGGTCCAAGCAGGGACTGACTGATGTAGTTCACCACAGTCTTGTTGTTCAGTGACTCTCTCCTGCCTGTAGCAGCACCATGCTCTGGATAAAAGAAGTGTGAGTGAGTGAGTGAGTGAGTTTACTTTTATGCCGCACTCCCAGCAATATGCCAGCTATATATGGCCGGCTGGATAACGAAAGTGAGGAAACAATCATGCCTGACTGGCATCTTGAAACCATCTTGGAAAGTCTGAATGGACATATCGTCGTTGTATCTGATATGATGACATTTACTTGTCACCTCAAGTTGTTGAGAGTTCCAGCAAAGAGACACAATGAAAATCTTTAAAATACATTCCATCGAACTGAAACTTGTGAAACCGTAATGATAAATTCATATCATGTGTCTGCATAAACCAATTCAGATCACGCTGTCATGTGTGTTACTCATAGTTGACACAGATAATCAGTTTCCCATTCACCTGGAAATACTGAAGTCTCAAGATAACTAGTAGATGAGTCATTGTAGGAGTTCCTTTCGTGGAGTATTGCTAAAAAGTGTCGTAAACCATATTAAGCACACTCAGTTACTCACATAGCTTCACCTGGAGATCTACTTCTTACTCAGCTCTTACATGCATGACATGCTGAAGACTGTCAAGCGACTCCATCTTGAAGCTAAACATGTGAGTAAATGTTAACCAAGACCAACTGTTGCAGCTGTAACAAAGCAGTGTCCTACATACCCTCAGGATCACCCTGAGTCCTTGGCCCCACAGATGCACATGCCGTGGGGACACAGTGTAGTAACACCACACTGTGCATCCCGAAGAAGGTGATCCCATGCATCGATATATCAGAAGAGGCCCTCGGAGTCCAGATACAGGAAAGGATGTTGGTTCTCCTGTGGAGGCGTGCTGGCTAGAAGACTCCTTCACCTTCTCCGTTCAACTGCAAGACATTATTTTTGTATGCAGCCTGTGATAATGACACTGCAGCCTGAATATAATTTCAGTTTTAGAAATATCTTTTACTGCGCTCGTGTCAGCATAATCAATAGGATGTTACAAAAAGTCTGGAATAAAGTAATCAAATTTATACAAACCTGTAGAGGTTATGAATTCTTTGAAGAAAGTCCTCCTTGGGGTACATATAAGCATTAAAATGTCCATTTTAAAATCCTATGACAGTTGTAACTATATTTTCAATAAAATATTTACAAAACAAAAGCACGACGTTTTGTCTTGTGAGACCACCCTACAAGGGCCCCACCGGACCAACTACAGCCAAAAGAGCAGGGAAGCAACTCTACAATAACCACAAAATCGTTTTCCTTGACCAACCTCAAAAGTATATCAGGTTAGGAAGAAAACACATTTTCAGTATTTACAGTTCTAACTATGAGTAGCCTCCGCCATAGCCCCCAAACGGTCTCACGTGACCTGAGCCCAGCTCTCATCATTCTCTCCAATAAACCGCCTCCGTGGTGTAGTGGTTAGAGTGTCCACCCGGAGAGCAGAAGGTCGATCCCCGACCGCGTCATACCAAATGACGTTAAAATATGGTACTTGTTGGTTCCTGCCTGGCGCTCGGCATTAATGGGTACAACAAGGATTGGTCGGCTCGGAGTTTTTGTATATAGTGTCTGAGTGGGGTATTCATGCTTCACTGCGGCATGGTATCTCAGTGGGCTAGCACTATAAAACCAGCTTAAGTCTGGGCTAGTACAAGCAGCCGTACATACACATGCACACGCATGCACGTCGTCATATCAGCGAAATATTCTCAAGCACGACGTAAAACCCAATTTCACCTCACCTCTCCAAAATAAGCCCACACTAAGTCTTACAGTGAAGCCTGTAGTGCTGAGAGGGGACGGTTGGGAGGGCTAAGCATAAAATATCAATTTTATCATAAAAATTACATATTTTTCCTTATGACTCATGCTTATTGCTTACCGAATCTGACGGAATAGGTGGTGGGTCAGCCACCTAACGGGATTCACTATGACTGTCAACCAAAACAGTCTGATCGCATACCCCCTGAGAACTCTTCTTGCGGCTTCCTAGTTGTCTAAATGTCGTATTTGGGGGACCACCTTCTCTCAACTTTTATAGATTTTAGAATCTTAGAATGATCCATTTGTTAAGGTAAGGACTATTACCGAAACTGAATCGCAACCCATAAGTAACGGTAAGGACTATTACCCAACTGGGTTTATATCACTCAAGTGCTGACTCATCAAGTAAGACAGTGGAACATGGACTTGCTGCTGATGGCTATGGGTCAGTTGCCTAGCGTCAAGGAGTCAGCGTGATAAGGGTGAGTTCTCAATGTCCGGAATTGTGAGTTGTTGTACCACTACAAGTGGACCGAACTGGTGAATGCCTGATACATCCTCTGTAGCGATATCTCAAAGATAATGGTTAGCAAACACCGTGTCTGATTTCCAAAAGCAGCCGTCCATGATGGATGATAATGAGCAATTCCCATGTAGTGCGAGTGTCGACGCTACTGCTCTAACTTCATGCTGGTTAGATGCCCCTAGGTGGAGCCTAGAGATAGAGAAAATTACACTCACCAAGTCACCTGACCACTGATGTCAATCAAGGCGGGGGGCGTGACTAAGGCGTGGACCCCTACTGTCATAGCCTATATGCCGATTGGCTGATCGGATATTACATCCCCAGTCAAACCCCACCCCGACCTAAGTTCGAAGGGTATAAAACCAGGAACTTCGCCAAAACCAAACTACTGTCCATAGCGAAACAGCTCGTCAAGCGTGGAAAATGGAAAGTAAAAGTAAGGCACCGATCACCAACGGATAGCGGGACTAAAAACCACCGCCAGATACCGTCACCAATAAAAAGGGGATGATAGAAACCCAACACCAAGTGCAGAAATGGTCAGAGTAAAAATCTGGAAAGCTCAATCGGCTTGAGAGATGCTACTCTGTCCACTGCGGAGAACCGTCTGGCCAAACCGAGCACGCTCACGTGAGTGTTTATCCAGCTGATAATGACGGATGAACGTACTCGGTCGGCTCCAAATAGCTGCTGAGCAGATCTCCTCAATGGGCAGAGCAGCAGCATAAGCCTTGGAGGTAGCTACTGCACGCACCAAATGAGCTTTCAACCCCTCGGGGGGGATAAGCCTTTGTGTATGTAAGACATACAGATGGCAGACACAATCCACCTTGACAAGGTTTGTGTATTCGTCGGATGACCAGCCTTGCCGCTGCCGTAGCAGCAGAATAGCTGTTTATCCTTACGGATGGACGCCGTTCTCTTACTATACGCTTTTAATGTCTTGCGGACGTCTAACACATGAACCTTATGGTTAGTGTTACCTGACGACGCAGGAAGCGTGAAGGCGGGAAGATCTATAGGTGCCGTAATATGAAACGCACTATCGATCTTAGGGAGGTAAGAATCTGGTAAGCGGATACTTACACGATCCTTATGAAACACGGTAAGCTCCGGGTCCGATGACATAGCATGTATGTCACCGACCCGTCTACCAGATGTAACCGCTACTAAAAATGCCGTCTTCCAACTCAGCAGCTGGAGAGACAAATTCGCCAAATCGTAAAAGAGAGGACTGGACATCCAATCTAATACGAGAGACAAGTCCCATGTGGGACTGGACCGACGGACGACCGGACGCAGTCTGTCCACGCCTGCTAGGAAGCGCTGCACCAGAGGGTGTTGCCCTAAGAGAGCACCCTCAATGGGAATGTGGAAGGCTGAAATAGCCGTGGAGTAGCCTTGGATAGTAGATGCAGCTAAGCCGGACTCTAACCGAGACTGTAAAAACTCCAACACCTCGACTACAGTCTAAGAAAAGGGATCGAGAATCCCTCTATTTCCACACCAGCGCGCATAACAGGTGTCACCCCAGAGGCAAACAGATCTACCTGGAACGACCCGAACAAGTGGGAGATAATCCCGAATATCTCCCGGTCGAGTAACCACTCGTGAGGAGCTAGGATACGACGTGAGAGCGCATCTGCACGAACGTTGCCCACCCCTGGGAGATAAACAGGCATAACCCGTATGCTGAACTGATCGCACCATAGCAGAAACTGCAACGCCTCCTGAAGGAGTGACGGAGACACCGTACCGCCCTGCTTCAGGATATAGGACATCGCCGTTTGGTTGTCCATCTCTAGACGAACCGTGAGGTTTCGAACCTGATCCAGGAAGCGTTCGAACACCAACCGGACCACTCTCAATTCCAGCACATTGATGTGCAGGGTCGCCTCGTTCACGGACCAAAGGCCTAAAGCTGTGAGGTCGCCCAGGACACACCCCCAGCCTGTGAGGGAAGCATCCGTCTGAATTGTGAGCGTCGGCACCGGGGTTTCCAACGGTAAACCCTTGGATAGATTCCCGGTGACGGTCCACCACCATAAGTGAGGAATGAGCCACTCCGGAGTTACCAGAATCTTCTTGTAACTCTCTGAGTGAGACCACAGCTGCGATAGCGCTTGCTGAACAGGTCGCATCCTCAGGCGCGCACGCCAAACTATGTCCACTGTCGCCGCCATGTTGCCTAGCAACTGAAGCCAAGTTCGAGCTGAGGCCCTGGGGTACTGGAGGAATTGAAACACAATCCCCTGGACTTTGGGAATGTGGTCCCGAGACAGAGAGACTATGCCCTGTTTTGTCTCGAATCTCGCCCCCAAGAAAACCAGATCCTGGGTGGGAACCAGTTCTGATTTCTTGAGGTTGACAATTTAACCCAACTTGGTGAAAGTATCCATTACTGACTGTGTGGAATCCCGACTCAAGTGGGTAGCGAGTGCCCTGAGAAGTCAGTCGTCGAGGTACAGGTAACAAAAGCTGCCCTGTCCCCTGGCAATCTGAGCTGGCACCAGCATGAGTTTGGTCAACACCCTTGGTGCCGTGGAGATTGCGAAGGGGAGCACACGAAACTGATAACACTTCCCGTCGAAGGAAAACCGGAGGTATTTCCAAAACTCGGGGTGCATCGGTACATGGAGGTATGCGTCTTTGAGGTCGATTGACGAGAGCCAATCCCCTGCCTCTACAGATGAGATCACTGAACGCAGTGTCTCCATCTTGAAAGACAGCACCTCTATTAAATCGTTCACACCCTTGACATTGAGAATGGGTCTGAACCCTCCGTCCTTTTTGGTGACCAGGAAATAAGTGGAGTAAAACCCCAGGTTTTCCTGGCCCACCGGAACCATTTCGATGGATGCCTTGTCCAGCAACGACTGGACCTCGGCACGGAGTATATCCGCCTTCTCCTGAGAGTTTGGCACCGGAGTGCAACAAATCCTTGAGAAAGGAGGAGGGCCTCGCTTCCACTGTGGCCATCCCTGTGTGTGGACAGGACCCATGGATTTGAGGTGACTTTCTCCCATTCCCGAAGGAAAAGAGTCAGTCAGCCGCCTACAGGGACGTCGGGTAAAAGGCAGTGAATCCCGACGGTCAGCAGTGTAGCAACTGACCACAACTGGCCGACTTCCCCTTCCTCTGAAAGGCTGCTGAGCGGAAGCAGCCTTGCCCTTGCCATTACCCTTGCTCTTGCCCTTGCGTGCCTGAAGTGGAGCAGTCCACTTAGGCGCCTCCTTCCCCGAAGTGGAAGGATATGCAGCAGCAAGGACGGAAGGCCGGGCCCGAGAGGTGAGGGGTTGTTCAAGTAAGGGCTTGGAGGGCGACCGACAGCCATAATCGCACTCATCATCTGGCTAGCGCAAGACCAAATAGCGTCGCGGGCCAAATGAGAGTGCACCTCCGTAAGTTGCCGTGCCAGTGACGACACGGCATCATCCACGCCCTCCTGGTCCACCAGCTGCCTCTGCAGGGCAGAGAGGTAGGCTGAGTGAACCGTAACCCGAAGCTGCTGTACTGCGTTGCGGTACAGCAGCACCTGGTTACCAGAGGAGAAAGGCGGCAAGTGTTGACCCTGACGAACCGAGGCTTGGCTGTGGCCGGATGATCCCCCTAGGGCGATTGAGGCATAGATACACTCGTCCACCACCGGGGGATCAAACAACATTTCCTCTCCCATCAAGTGGCGCCGGTTTAGCTCGGGGAGATTGAACCGTGACCGACTACCTGACAGGAGTGGGTTGATTATTACTTCACTGATAAGCGAAGGTAAAATACGTAGCCGGGTATCGGCAACCCAACACGGAGCGAAAGCTTCACCGGGAAGCCGGAACTCCGCGGGGTCGGGGTCGTCCGAGGTGACAACCATGTGAGGTAGTACAGCTGCGATGCGTTTGCGCAACTGCCTCAGGGACGATCCAAGCGAGAAGCTAGCTTCTCCCAGCCGCTCCCGACCCCCATCCTCATCCATGGCTTCCTCCTCCCACTCCTCCAGGCAAGAGCTCTCTACATCGAGAGTGGGCTCCAGAAGAAGGGACCACGGACAACGACAGAGGCTCGAGAAGCACCGAGAAGCCTGGCTCGACCGACCCTAGGCTCGAGGCCGAGCCTGGGTGCCGAGATCCGAGGGAAGAGCCCGCCACGGCAGGATTCCCCAGAGCGCCGGAAGGTATCGAGGGAACCGGCAGTGCCGGTGCTCAAAAACCCACAGCATGGATGCCGGGAGCCATCGGTGCAACACCTGATGGACCAGCGCCGGTAAGCTGTACTGTACCAGAGCCTAGGCTATTAGCTATTAGCTATTAGTCTTGGAGTCACTAATGATATGGAAGTCGTCGTCAATCTCTGGCACTCTGATGAACATTTCCATGCTGTGTAGAGGAAATTTCCTTGCATTAAATGCCAGTGTATGGTGACCTTGGTGTCTAGTAGCATTCGCGAATGCTGACTTGAGTTTTTTGATATGGGCTTTATTGGCGGGATCGTCAGTGTGTCTAAGTCTTCGTCCACTATGCGATATGTCTCAGCCGAGTTCGAGTTATGAGTTGGCAAAGATGTATGCCAACCACTATCTAAGACTAAACTTCAGAGTCTGTGTAGATAGTTAATTCCTCTAGTTCGTGGACGCTCGTATCTGAAGCTGGTGCTTTGTCACGGATGGAATCGTTGATAGACGCCGTAGGAGTAGAATGACTAATCAGCTGTTGATTCTCCATTAAACGCTGTTGTTGCATAGCTAAGACTACTTGTCGTGTAACATTAGTCAAGATGATCTGCGGTTCGAGAACTGGTCGTGATCTGTCTAGATCTTCTTCTTGACCAGTTGTTGAAGTTCAGTCTCTTCTTGTGACTTCCTCTTAGAAGTAATGGGTGGGGAGGTAGCCTAGTGACTTCCCTTAGAAGTAGATTTCTGGTGTCCCCACCATGATGTTGCTGTCTCTAAAAGTAAGAGCTCAGTCAGTCCTCTTAGAAGACAGGAGAAACCCCAGAGGAATTATCCATAGTGATCTGTGACAACTCACACTCCAATGCCTGAGATTCCCCCCTTGCTGATACGCTTTTGTTTATCTGAGACCTTGCAAAAACGTGCTGACAAATATTATTTGATAAGGTGGTTGATAAATGTGCACAATATTCACAATGTGAGACTAAGGAGCACGAATAATCACAGCAAGAGGGGCAGATAGGGTGAGGATCAGCTGCAGACAAACTTAATCTGCACTGTTGACATGCCACCATCTGTAAACAATCACCTGCAACAGTGTAAACACAGAAAACAGTAGAAATTTACATAATAAAATACATCGTGATAAATCTAAAAAGTATCTAAATGCAATTCACGGCCACAAATTTAGACTAAAAGGCCGAAATGATAAGGATATATGCCACAAAAGGGACCCATATGACCGTCCAACCGTCTGCTTCGGCAATGAAGGAGAGAGTGACTAGAGATGGGCTCAGGTCATGCGGGACCGTTTTGGCACTATAGTGGAGGCTACTCATGGGTGAGTGATATTACGATCGCTTCAGGGAATTGAAAGGGATTCAAGTTTCTACTTAACCGTCGAAAGGAGAAGGGAGATAAGCAATAAGCATGAGTCAGGATAAGGAAAAATAAGAAATATTGAGGTTAAAATGGAACATCATAAAATGTGCACCCAAAAAACAGAAATGGTGAATAGAAATGGTTTTGTAATAATTCGATCAAAATCTCACAAATCATTTCATCTTTGAATGTTTGGAGCAAGCATGTTGTCCAGGGTGTATGTTTAAAACTAAAAGCAAACCATTTGACTCAATCTCAAAAATATTGACAAAACCATGCAATATAACTTATAATGTTAACAAGGTCAAATCAGCCAGGACATCAACAGTCAAAGAGGTTGCAGTTCAGGAATAATTGTGGTCTTTTTGGGTGGGATTTTTTTTATAAAAGCAAAATTGTCAGAAAGAAGGTGGTAAAAAAATTAAACCTGTTCTGAAAAGCTGACATCCGGCTGCCTCTAGGTACCATGCAGACATGCATCATTGTGTGATCTTCAGTGAAGCATAGAGGTACTGCAGCAAGTTAAAGATTATCAATGTGTTCAACGTAAGAAGAGATGTTTACCTTTCCCTTCTTCTGTGCTGGACGGTAGCTCTTCCTGGAAACATCACACTGAGCATGCTCAGCTGCCAGCAGCGTCATGGACGGCTGTATCAATATCACGTGCATGGTGCGAGTGGGTATGAAATCCTCCATTGCTTTGATCTGTTCCTCCGTGGCTTCAGGACGATCTTCATCTGTCATCACTGAAGTAATATGAGTGAGTGATATTGACACTGTTTTGGGTAATATTACAGCAATAAATGGGACACCATAAATAGGCTTCACACATTGTAACATTGTGGAGGAAAACAATAGGAACAAAAGACCAAAACTCAAGCAAAACAGCCTTATATGATGGAAATGCCTATGTACAGACTTAAATGGTTGTGGATCATTTCAGAAATACATTGTTATCTACAACAAGCTTTGAGATCAGAACGGTTCAGTGATACAGAAGGTTATAACAATCATTACGTGGAACTATGTGGAAACCCCAATGTACCAGGTATTTCTTCTCGACTTTTCCTAATTTCAACACAGGTTAATCCATGATTCAGGTAATAATAAGACCCAAAGACCATTACTTTTCCTATCCTCTAACATAAACTTTTAAACTGTCACATAATAATGATCTCTTTGTAAAAGAGGCCTCTGGTGCTCAAACGACAACAGTACTTACAAGATTTGGATTTTACGATGTATAGGGCTGATACTGATGATCCCAGGCACAGTGCAGGAACTTCTCCACGCGGTGATACAAGGTCGAGCTGACATTCAGGTGACATGGACCAATCAGAATCTTCATGATGGATGTCTCGTGGAAGAACAGAGCCTCATGTCCATCCTCTGTCACAGATGACTTACTTCCTGCTGCTTTGAACAAAACATCAGACCCAGATATTTAGTCAAAGAAGATGAGCGTAACAAAGATTACGAACTTTGCATGACAGAGACAGACGAGTAATGTTTAGAGTAAAGTTGTTATTTTCCACTTATCCTGACTCTCATACTATTTGCTCCTCTCTACATGAACCCGAGATATGATGGACACATTCTGTGTTATGTTCAATGAGAAAAGTAAAATATCTGACTCGAACACATTCTCCAACCTTGCTCAGAAACCGACTCTTCTAAATATGAAATTTTTAGAGTAAAATTAATATTTTATACTTATCCTGACTCATGCTTATTTGCTTGTCTTCTTCTTCTGGCTTAACCTAGTGGAACACTTGTATCTCCCAATTGAAGTTCCCTTCAATAAAGAATCACTCATTAGTACTCACCACGAAGTTACCTCCCCTTCTGTAAGCTGAACGAGGGCTTCACTCCAAGCCCATGTGCCTCACTCTCTCCTTTTTACTTTGAGCCCAACACTTTTTTCCCCGAGAAATCCAAAGTGTTAAGTGGGAGGACGGGAGGGTTTATTCATGAGTCAGGATAAGTATAAAAATATTAATTTTTTACTCTAAAAATTTCATATTTTTTTCTTATCCTGACTCATGCTTATTTGTTTGTAGAATCCTACGGATTAGGAGGTGGGATTATATATACTTTGGATTTTACTAATTAGTGATTTGAAGTGATATGATTGTAATAACCGTTATGGGAACTTCATGAAGGCACTGAACTGAATTCCTGCTGTTAATGTAACAGCTGCCTTTAAAGAAGGTTATTACAATTTACTGCATATAATAAAAGTATATAGAACATTAATTAAGCTAAGGCCATTAATGTGATAGCATAAACTGTTGATAGTTTATAATGAATACTTTTATAAGAACTAAAGTAGTAAGCTTACAATATGTATATATATAAGCTATAACAGAATTGTGCTTAAGGTATAAAGATAGCTAGCTGTAGTAATAATAGTAACCAACTACTGACAGTTTGTTAACTTATACATGTTATGAAATGAACATATGACTGAGCTTAAGGAGAAGAACTTAAGCTGAACATATATATAATAGTAGAAACTTCGTAAGAGTTGTAGGTATATATATATTATGATATAAATCATAGTACTTGAGCTTAAGATAATATTTTAACTTAAGCAAATATATATAGATAGCATGTAGCTATTAGTACTGTTATCAGATAAGTTATAAAATCAACAAGATAGACTTATCTTCTCCGTGGAACTGTCAACTGTTGAGCGAGGACCATGGGACCTAAATGGTGGATACCTGAGACATCCTTTGGTGGTGATATCTCTCAAATAGTAGTTGGCAAACACCATATCGGATCTCCAAAACATCCCTCCATGATGGTATTCAATGAGCAATTTCCATGTAAAGCCAAAGTTGAAGCTAGTGCTCTAATTTTGTGAGGGATTAGTAGCACTTGGAGGGTCCAGTCCATCTGCCTTGTAGGCTCTTAGTATGACAGTTCTGATCCAAATAGAAATGGTAGTGGGCTTACACTTCTGTCTGTGAGGCGGTAGATATAGGGATAAACAATCTTTGAATTTCCCTCTACTTTGCTTGGATCTTTGGAGATATATTTTCAGTGCACGTACAGGGCAAAGTGGTAAGTCCATCAGATCCTGCGGTCCAAGTATGGATGAGAGAGCTGGGACATGGAACAACCTGTCTGGTTGACCTGGTAGTTGATTTTTCGGCTATAAAATCCCAGCTGGTCCCAGATGAGCCGATGTTATGAATATCGCCAAATCGTGTTCTCTCAGAATCCAAAGCGTGAATTTCAGACATCCTGGCGCAGTGGCTAACGCTTAGCAGGAATAAGGTTTGTGGGTCAATGATTCATATGACGCAGATAACAATGGCTCGTGTAAGCCTCACTTGTGAGGTGTTGAAGTACCACATTTAGATCCCAGGCTGGCTGGAAACTTCCGTTTCTGATCTTCCAATCGAAAGGCACGCGTAACAAAGGCGAAGTAACTCTGGTGTTTTTAGTCAATTTGGACGCCCGTTCTCATTGTTATGACTGAACTTATGGCTGCAAGATAAGTGGACAGTGTAGATCCTTTTAGATTCTTAGTTTGACGTGAGGAAACATAAGAAATCTGCCACTTGAGGATGTGTAGCAAATCTGGCTGAAAAATCCTTTCTTAGCAGCATAATTGACAAATCTGAGCCATTTGTCATCGATAAGTTACTGGTAGAGTTACGTAGTGCAAGCGTGACCGCCCACCACTCTGGTGGAATAACCTCTCTTATTCAAACATGCCTTGATACAATCCACACGTGAAAGTCGGAATGCTTCTGGTGTTTTGTGCACTTGTTTGGTGTCGCGGATGTATCAGTAGATTGGAGCGTGAGTGGGAGCTGAAGTACTGGTTTTCCGATTCCTAGTATGAGGTCTGGAAACCACGCTCGGCTGGCCAGTAAAGCATGACCAAAATCAGATCGAGGCTCTTCGCTTGACTGATTTTTAGCAAGACTTGTGGGGATTAACATGGGCCGGGGAAAGCGTCACGCATTTAGTCCCGCCCATGATATGCTTAGTCCGCTGCCCAAGCCAACGGATCTGGCACTGGCGATCACGAAGGTTGTCAGTTGATTGTTGAATCGAATTGGGCAAATAGGTCTATCAGAGGAGATCCTATTTCCATGATTATCTGATTGAATATCTCTGTGGAGCATCCATTCTGTGTCCTTGACACGCTTGGTGCGGCCGAGAGAGAGCGTCTGCTAACACATTCTTTGCTCCTGGAATGTGGCAGGCTTTGATATCGTATGTTTAGACTGCTTCCAATTTCATCGAACAGTCTTGAAACATCGAGTGAGAAGATTCAGTGATCTTGTTGACCCTTGTTTGTTCACATAAAAGCGCCACTGTTGAGTTGTCTGTGTGAATCATTAACTGAGCGTTCTGTAATAGGTTGCTCCAGTGACCTATGGCGTTTATGACTGCTTGCATCTCTAGCAGATTTATGTGACATAAGCTCTCTTGAATGCTCATAGGCCTGACGCTTGTCCTGCCGTAAGGTGGGCTCCCAACCTTTTAGTGACGCGTCCACGTAGAGATGTGTTTTCGATTCCGGCTCTACTAAGGAGACGCCTGCGCAAACATTCAATCTCTTGGTCCACCAGAGTAGATGTGGTTTGATGTAATCTGGTAGACTGAACGGTAGAGGGTCCTCGAGATGGGCATTGATGAGGACTTGTAATGGACGTAATTGAAGCCTGCCTCTGAGTGTCAAGTCTTGAGCTGATGTGAGTAGTCCCAGTAGCCTCTGCCACTGACGTAGTGGTAACGGAGAGAGTAGGGCTTGGGGGATCAGTTGTTGTATCTTGATCCATCTGTCCTCCGGGACTACCATACGATTCTGCGCTGTAAGGAATCGTATACCTAGAAACTGCAGATCCTGCGTGGGCTCTAGGTCCGACTTGAGTAGATTTACTAACCAGCCTAACTATGCGCTAGTAGCTTGATTGTAAAGTTCAGCTGTAGTCTGAGACGCTTTCGTGGATCTGGATCCACCTGTATACCGGGCTGCCTATAGTGTTTCCCCCAGGCATATTTGGCAGGGCGCAGCCTGCCCTTTTATTTAGCTTCCTGCCCTTTTATTTAGCTCTGCCCTTTCATTTAGCTTTGCCCTTTTGAATCGCCAGATATATCTGCCCTTTGAAAAATCCAATATTTTCCTCGGATTTTAACAAAGGCAGGAGTTAGCTCCTTCCCGATGTTTTTGTTGTGCAATAAAACTACCTATTTAAGCCATGGCGCTTGCTTTGTTCATTTGCATTCTGATTCACAATGCCAACCAAAGAAAGAACAAAGAGGAAAAGAGAAGAAGCTGTGAAGGCTGAAGTGAGGAAGTGTCGACGACTCCTTGATTTCTTCAAGGCCAAACAGGTACGACTTGACAATGACTTCCGCCATTTTGAACCGATAAGGCAAAATTAGAAAACATTTCCAGCAATAATCTAGGTTCATGTGATCTCTTTATAGCTAATTAAACATGCTCATTCTCTCTCTCTGTTATGTTTAAGAACATTTGCTGTAAATACTTTACGCCCATATCTTATTTTAGTCTTTTGTGAGGAGAAAATAAAACTTAATGAAACAAAGGGAAGCCATATCGACATGATCACTTCAGATTATTCAAGTTTTTTTCTTTCCTTTTCCATTTCAATGCTTGTCTCAAGTATTTAAAACACACCGTGATTGTTATCCTCTCTAATATTACGATTGTGAATAGATTCTAATATGTTTTTGTACTTTTAATTCTTCTTGTTTAGTCGACCTCGCTTCTGAAAGAAATCTTCGAAGCACGTATTTTTATTTCGATTTTCTAGATATACACAAAACCCTCTCGCTTGCTATAGTAAATATTTGCGCTTGGGTATATCTGTTGAAATTTTATTTACTCTTTGTAAATGTACGATTATCAAGTAATAATTCCACACCTAAATAGATACAGGAATCGAAGCCACTTCAAACATGTCTATTTCTGAACGTATCTAAGTGTATTTTTTGCACTGCATACATGTAGTTTTTCATATTCTAAAATATCGGTAGAGATACTAAATTATTTTTTTTCTTTGAAGTTCGTAGATTTTGTGGTGGATAAGGTGTCTACAATAAACAAAGGCAATTTTTACCTGTCTCCATATCTAGTCTTAAAGATTTTCAATACTAAAAATAATTGTTCCAAACTTTTGTGTATATTTATCTGATATTTTAAACTAATTTATCCTCAACTGAAATGTTTTTTCTGTGTGTGAAAAATTACTTTCATTGGGTATTTTTACTATTCTTATTTTCTTAATATTCAAAGGATGTTTTCTTATTACCAATTTACAAAATACAATAAATTTTGTCTGGAAATAAACTGACTTGTATGTGTATTTCAGGCCCGATGTAGAAGATTCCGAGCTTGTTAGCTATGACATCGACAAGCCGGTTGT